GAAAGCCTTGACTACAGCCATTGGCCTAATTGGAGCTAAGAGAGATTTACAGGAGTCATTGTTTGACATCAGTGATTCAATTCCGAACACTGCATGGTCCCCTGAGCATCACTGGGTACAGTCAGGCACCCCCTGAGTTTTGCTGGACATGACCCTGCAGCCCCTGGCACAGCTTCTCAGCCCTGACAATGACCTGCCAGTTGGGTGGGCTGCTGGTTGGGCCCCTGGACCACCTAAGCACCACATAAAAGAACTCCCGACCCCCATTGGGAAAAAAAAATCAAGTACCAAGAGATTTGGAGAGAAAGCTCCAGGATGAAACCAGGGGGTTGCAGACAAGTCTGGATTGAGGCCCAGAACCTCCTGGTCTTCCAAGCACCTCTGGAATTGACCCCCCCACCCAAAGCATAGAACCAGTATACCACCGGGTGTGGTCTCCTTACCATGCCCCCACCCTCCAAGAAAGTCCTAGACCCTTTTAAATGGCTTCCAAGTGGGTGTGGACCAACGGAAGAGCAGACTATGTTCCTCCCTGTTGGAGCGTGTATCCCCTCACGGCCCAGGCATGATGGGGAGCCGTAGCTGTGGTTGTGAGAGTGTGAGAGACCTGAACTTGTCTAGGAGACACACCCTGAGCCCAAGTCTATTGTCTGTGATTTGGGGACACACCCAGCTGGGCACAGGGATCACTCCTGGCAGGCTCAGGGCACTGTGTGGGTGTTGAGATTGCACCTCAGATGGCCACATGCAGAGCAAATGCCATTGCCCCTGGACCTTGTCCAGCTCAGCTCTGCGCTGTGTTGTGCTGATGAGCGTCTCAGAGCAGCAGCATATCATGAGGCCTGACCTGGTCATTTGACAGGTAGGTCTTGGGGGACATGAGCGTCCAATAGCTGCCCCTGCCCATCTTCCAAACACAGGGCCCCGGAGAGGGTCAGCATCGGCTTGAGGGACTGACTCTGGCTCTGGGTAATGGTTCTTCCTCTATTAGCTGCATTGTTTACAAATTTGGTTCACAGGTCACAGGGCAAATGAGTCCCATCTCAGAAGGCGAGGGCTATTCGCAGCTCCAAAATTTGTTGATTAGGGCCCCAGGCCTCAAGCCCAGCTGAACCTCCAGAAGCCATTTTTCTTTCTTCCACTGGAAAAAGCAGAGCTATGGGGTCAGAGTGATAGCACAGCAGGGAGTGCATTTGCCTTGCATGCGGCCAACCTAGGTTTCATCCCGGCATCCCCTAGGGTCCCCTGAGCACTGCCAGGAGTAATTCCTGAGTGCAGAGCCAAGAGCATTGCCAGGTGTGACTCAAAAACCCAAAAGAAAGGAAGGAAGGAAGGAAGGAAAGGAAGGAAGGAAGGAAGGAAGGAAGGAAGGAAGGAAGGAAGGAAGGGAGAAAGAAAAAGAACGGAAAGAAGGAAGGAAGGAAGGAAGGAAGGAAGGAAGGAAGGAAGGAAGGGAAAGAGAGGGAGGAAGGAAAGAAAGAAAAAGGAAGGAAGGAAGGAAGGAAGGAAGGAAGGAAGGAAGGAAGGAAGAAAAAAGAAAAGGAAAGCAAAGGAAGAGAAAGAAAGAGAAAGAGAGAAAGAAAGGAAAGAAAGAAAGAAGGAAGGAAGGAAGGAAGGAAAGAAAGAAAGAAAGAAAGAAAGAAAGAAAGAAAGAAAGAAAGAAAGAAAAGAAAAGAATAGCTGGGCTGGGTGAGACCAAGCCCGCCCCCCGTGGCTTATCACTGAATGAACTTCCCCATGTTTGCTCATATTCTGCCTTGAAGCCACGGTCAGTTGCTTCCTTGGACTCACGTCATCCTCCCTGGGGCCCCAGCACAGCTATTTAAATGAGCTTCTTCAGAAGCTGTTCTCCATTCCCCTCTGCCTGAGCCTGGCTAGGCACCCACAGAAGCCCACCTGACCTTGCTCTCCAGAGCCCCAGAGGTAAGTATTGCAAAGGCTTTAATATTACCAGTGGGGAGAGCATTTGCCTTGCACGAGGCTGACCCAGGTTTGAACTCTGGCACTGCATGGGGTTCCCTGAGCCTGCCAGGTGTGATCTCTCAGTGCAAGCCAGGAGTCAGCCCTGAGCACTGCTAGGTGTGCCCTTGCTCCCTCGGAAGAAAGAATAGCATTCCAAGATTTGCTGCCTCTTTGAAGCCAGGAATTGGATCTTCTGCCTTGGTACTTGGTTTTCGTGGGGGAACCTCATGGTGGTGTTTGGGGAGCACCAAACACCAGCTCAGGGACAGGAGGTATTGGGGATTAAACTGAAAGTATGGAGCTCAGTCTGGCAAGTACAAATGCCCTGGGCTTTTTTTTTCCTTTAAAAAGTTTTTTCCTTTTTGTTTATGTATTTGGTTTGGGGGCCATACCTTCTCTCAGGGATCACTCCTGGCAGTGCTTGAGGGACCCTATGGGACGCCGGGGATCGAACCTGGGTGACGCCGTGGGCTTTAAACCGGCCTCCTTGACATTGTGTCCTCTCTTTGCTTTACCTGGTCTCTGTCCTTTTTTTCTTTCCTTTTCTCTCTTTTATGTTTGACTAAACATTTCTCTCTCCCAGTTTCAGGGCAGATTCCTTCATTGAACAGGCAGGTTTTTATTTGGAGGGCAAAATCAAGTGTACATATAGGGAAGTCTCAAAGAGAAAGAGGCACCCTATCACTGCATACACGCATTGTGTTAAGAACAAGCACAGGCCTGGAGCAATGTACAGCAGGTAGGACATTTGCCTCAAACGGGGCCAACCAAGGTTCAATCTCTGGCATCCCATATGGTCCCCCAAGCGCCGCCAGGAGTAATTCCTGAGTTCAGAGCCAGGAGGAAAAAAAAAAAAGAACAAGCACGTAAATAAACTAAATGGAACAAAGAACAGGGGCCAGCATGACAGCCTGGTAATTAGTGATATGTGCAAGGCTTTGCTTCTTTCCCTGGCCTGAGGAGAAGGGACTCAGCCTCTTAGATCAGGGAGAGGCCGAAAGGATCCAGGAAAGGTTTGAGCTTCTCCAACTCCCTGTGGCCCTCATGGTTCTCCAATAAACACACCAGAGGGAGGCCTCCAAGTGGACCAGACTGAGAATCTGGCAGTCTGACCTGAGCAAGTTCACTTGTCTGAAAATGTCTGTGTTTTGCTCTGTTTTGGGGGGTTGGGGATGGGTTAGGCTTCACCCTGCAGTGCCCTGGGACCCATGTGGTGCCAGGGATCGTCTCTCCAGAACAGGCCCTGGTACTGAGAAGATGTTGGAGGATTTTATTTTATATTTTAAGAGTTAATGCTATTCTTGGGGCTGGGGCAATAGCACAGCGGGTAGGGCGTTTGTCTTGCATGTGGCCAACCCAGGTTCGATTCCCAGCATCCCATATGGTCCCCTGAGCACCGCCAAGAGTGATTTTTGAGTGCAGAGCCAGAAGTAACCCCTGAGCATCACTGGGTGTGACTCAAAAAAGGAAAAAAAAAAGAGTTAATGCTATCCTTGGTCTTTTAATAAATACAAAGGAACATGTTTAACAGAACAGACAATAAAGTTTAACAGAATTAAATGGGCACAAAATAAACTTTGAGGATATTGTACGTTTGCATCTTCTAAAGTCTAAAGCCTCTTTAGTAATAAGCCTATGTTTTTATTTCTACATTCATTTTATATTCATTCCTCTTATATCCTTTTATAGTATTCATATTTCATATTCATACAGCAAAAATAAGCAAACTTTATTTTTGTCAAATTTTGGCAGTATCATTCTTTTTTAGAAAAAAAATGGCTTTGGTGGTTTTCAAAGATAATTTATAGACGTTGCTATTGTTCTAACCTGAAAGAAGAACTGGAGAGTTAGAAAAAGACTTCACTACTGTGATGCTATCCAGAAAAGGAAAGGAAAAGAACTGCTCAAAGGTCTGTCAGGGTGAAGGCTTGTGTGCCCTTGTTGGTGGGGGCTCCCGGAAGCCCAAGAGACTGACCATGGCAAGGTTTCCGATCACCCCTCTGGTAACAGGGGGCAGGTATCGGCTATTGGCGGGAGCCCTGATGAAACAGAGGTCTCAGGAGCCCAGCAGGGAGGTAGGATGCCGATCCTTGAGTCTCTCCTGATCCCTCTGGCGCCTGCGTCATGGTATCTTTTGGAAGAACGAGCTAAGTGACCCAGTAGTGCTGAGGTCGGGGGGCTGCGGACTGGAGGTGAGTCTGAAGCACTTCCTACAGCTCCTCCTGCCTCCAGACTGCCAAGTAAGTCGGGCACGACCCTCTTCCCTGTGCCACTGTCTGATCCGCTTGCTTGGTTCATTTCAGCAACCCCTTTGGTCCACTGCACTGTGGGTGTCAGTCCTTGTCAACTGGAAGAACAGGTTCCAATCCACTGTGTCAGGTTGTTTATATTGTTGGGTAAAATATTAATTCTGCCCGTTAGCCTCTAAAGCATCTATTTGATTGGAGGCCTAGAGGACAGAGGTTTTGGGGGGCCTATGGTATGGTTTGGCTTTGGGGCAAGACCTTGTATTGGACAGACAGTGTTTTCTCCTGGTTCTGTGTTCAGAGATCACTCCTGGTGGTGCTGGGAGCCAGGTACAATGCCAGGCAGAAGATCAGGGTTGGCCGCATACCAGGCCAGTGCCTTAGCCACTGAATCTCTTTGACCTGAAAATGGAGAGGGAATGGGGTAGAGGTGATGGAGCAGGGTCATTGCCAGTGCTCCAGTACCAGCTGGGGTGGGGTTGGGGAGCGGAGGGGGGGTCCCATGCATTCTTTCTTGTCTTTGCCCTCAGAACTGTAAATGCAGACTGGACTGGCCAGAGGTTGAGCCAATGGAAGCCTTCTCTGTCACAGAAATGGAAGCTAAGTTGTCGTTTCTGTTGCTTCATGGCCACTTTTCTCTGGAAATAGGTGCGGAAGCAGCAAATACCACCAAGGCAATTGAGGGGGAACTCTGACACTCAAGGCAGAGTGACGGGTGTCCTAAAGAGACACTGAATCCCGTGTTGGCCAGCAGGCTTCTGAGACCAGCAACCCAGCCTTTTTCTTCACAGCATGGAGGAAAACAGCAAAGCTGGACCTGTCAGGTATGTCACTCAGGGGCATCCTGGGGCTTTCCAGTGGCGATGCTGCCACATTCTTCCTCCTTCATGATGTTGGATGATGAAAAGACTTGTATCACACAAGTGACTTGTCCTGACCTCACCACCTCCTATCGCAGTGGCACTGGGGGTACTAGTGACGGGGTTCAACCGGCACATTCTGAAAGAGCTCAGTGGAAGCTCAGAACTGAGGCATTTGCTAGGACCCAGAGAGGAGAAGGTGATGCTGCGTGGATGAGGAGAGGTCCCATCCTACTCACCTCCAAAGTTTCCTAGTTTTGATCTCCACTCCCGGCGACTTCGTAGTCCTCTTAGAGGCCAATGGTGGGGAAAGGGTTAAGTGGCAGAGCAGCTTGTCAGATCAACAGAATCTGTGTTCCCGTTTCTGACACACCCCTAAACTATCTAGAAACCTTGGGCAAAAGACAATATTTTTTTGTTTGTTTTGGGCCACACGTGAGAGTCCTGAGGGCTTATTTTTGGCTCTGCACCCAGGAGTCACTCCTGATGGGCATGGGGGGACCATATGGGATGCCAGGGATTGAACCCATGTCGGTCATGTGCAAGCCAAAGCACCCTCCCCTCTGTACCCAAATGACAATATCTTTGAATTTGTTTCTTCAGCTGTCAAATAAGCAATGCTAGATAATTATTATCTTTGCTTATGAATTTCACAAGTCAAGGAAATTCAAAGCACAATCGCACAATTTCACTATTGCTACCACAATGTTTCCTGTTGAGGAAACATTGTTTTCTAGCATGAGAATATTTAAGGAATAAGTAGACTCACTCCTCTAGCAGTTCATGCTATTTCACTAGTCAGATTTCACAATAGAATCTTGTTCTCTGTTTACAAACACATAGGCATATGAAGTGATCTTATTAAATGCTACATATAGATACTTGACTATTTCACCTCAATCTTTAAAAGCATATATATTTAATTTGGAGGTCAAACCTGGTTGTGTCCAGGGGTTACTCCTGGCTCAGTGCTTGGAGATCACTCCTGCAGTGCTCAAGGAAGTGTGTGGTGCCAGGATCAAACCCAGACCTCCTGCACCAAAGCCTACACTCAGCCCCTGGATCTCTCTCTCTGGGCCCAAGTTTGCATGTTAAATCACAAAAGCAAACAAATTTTGTTCACTCGTTTTGCTTTTATTATTTAAAAAAGATTATTGAACACCTAAGATTTACAAGTTATCCCAATTGGGTTTTAGTATACTATGTTTCAGCATCCAACCCACCACCAGTGTCAACTTCCCTCCCCTGGAGTTCCCAGGTGCCAAGCCATCCCTAGACTGCCACCTCGCTGGGCACATTTGTAAGTTTGGCTGTGAAGTTCTGATCTTGTTCCCAGTGCTGTGACGCTGTGGTTCCTGTGTTTAGCTCTCTCCCTCCTCCACCACCCATACACCTGAGTCCCCTTGGCCCCTGCTCCCATAGCTTCCTGTCCATCTCTTCTTGTGCCCTTGATTTCTTTCCTTCTCTTCCTTCTCTTCCTTCTCCTCATACTCTGGGGTCCAGGGTGAGCTAGGCATCCCCTCCACAAAATACTTTTCTTGACTTTTCTTGTTGGAAAAATTGGCGATCATGTTAGAGTTGAACATACTGTCCTTGGAAGTAATAAGCATTAAAACATAATCAGTGCACGTTCAGTGCCATTGGTTGAAATACGTTTGAATTTTCTCTCCAGGAATGAAAAAGTGCTCAACTGCTTATACCAAAACCCTGATGCCATGTTCAAGCTGATCTGCTTTCCCTGGGCAGGCGGAAGCTCCACTCATTTTGCTAAGTGGGGCCAGATGTGCCCTAGCCTTCTGGAAGGTATGTTTGCGTTTGCCTGTACCGGTCTTGAGATCAGATGGTAGCACACTGAGGAACATCAGGCACAGCACAGATTTCTAATCAATCATAATGCTTGGTAATCAATAAGAAAAGCCATTCAAAATCCCGCTCTGGGAAGGTGATTTCTTTTCCATTTCTAAAGGAAGAAATTCTGTGACCTTGATTTTGCAGTTACTAGGACAGGAAACAAGATTCTGCATACTTTTGTGTGTGGCGGCGGGCGGGGGGGGGGGGGGCTTGTTTCAGTTTGCTTTCTATTTAGGCACTATGGTTTACAATCCTTTCAACAATCATGTTTTAGGCATAGAAGGTCCCATCTCCACACCTGCCACCAGCATCCCTTGACCGATATGTCACGGTCCTTCCACCACTCCCCTCCCCACCATACCACCCCTCAGCAAACATTTTATTTACATTGAATTATTATAGTTTGGGTCACGTGCTTATAATAGCGTTAAAAGTGTCATTTGTTCAAAAAAGAAAAAAAATGGGGGGGCACGCCCGATGGTGCTCAGGACTTACTCCTGGATCTATATACTCAGGGATCACTCCTGGCAGGTTCAGGGTACCCTATAGGGTGCCAGGAATTGAACTTAGTCAGCTGCGTGGAAGACAAATGCCCGGTGTGCTGAACTAGTATTCCACCAAACTCACTGTTCTTGGGAAGCTAAACATACATATAAATTCCCTAATAGATCCAAGAGTTATGACAACAAAAATTGACTGATAAATAATGTAAGTTTAAGACTCTTTGGTAAGTGAAGTAAGATGTGGAACAGGCCACTGGCTGGATAATACTCCGTGGCAGTTTGGATTTGAGAAGCCAGAAATGTTCCTTCCTCCTTCATAATGAACATGCCACACTTCCAAGCAAATATCTGGGATAAGATCCTAACTAAATTAGGCTAGCAGAAGGTTGGCAGCAGCACATAGTGAACACATAGAGGGCTGACCCCAGGGCAAGGCACAAAGTGCTTGCCTTGCAAATGGCCGACCTTGGCATCCCATCTGGTTCCCCGAGCTCTGCCAGAGCTGATCCCTAACCACAGAGCCAGAAGTAGCCCCTGAGCACTGCAGGTCTGGCCCCACCTTCCTACCCAGCAATGAATGAGGAAGCATAGCAAAGTTGTCAGAGTGCTAGAGGTTTGTCACGCTCTGTTAGACTTCTAAAAGACACACAGGCACGCGGAGTTTTTTGATGGGAGAAGATACACAAAGAGAGAGGGAGATGGAAGCGATACAAAATTCGTGGCAAAATACACAAACTTTTGTCTCCTTGGGTGAAGGTGTGCCTGCTATCTGATGTTTCTATCCCACTCCAAAGGGGCAACCAATGCCAGGCCTCTACCTTTGGCAGAGGGTTTGAAAGTATTTGGGGACCTATCACCCACAGTCAACAAGAAAGAGTCTGCAGAGCAGGGAGGCAGAGCCAGCTAGGACTGCTTGAGTTGGCTGGCTTGGGTCCCAGTTACAGCCGGACTTTTTCAGAAACTTTCTGTTCTCCACATCACATTTTTTTCTTTTGTTTTGGGGCGACACTGACTGTGCTTAGGGATCACTCCTGGCTCTGGACAAGTGCCCTACCCACTGTGCTATCTCTCTGGCCCCTCCAGCCCCTTTTGACACCAGCCCCTTCTCAGTCTCCATTCACAAGGAAAATTGGTCTCTAGCTCCTGGAGCAGGTAGGGGCTGATGGCTCCTAGTTGCTTTACATTTTGGTGCTCACTAGGGTTCCCTCCTCAAAGAAATGCGAACACTTCCTTTTTGTCCCTGTTGGGAGAGCTGACAGAGCATGATGTCACATACTTGGAAGATTTAGAACAGTGATTTTCTTTATGCATCTGTAGCTGAAATCTCTGGTTTAGAAGAATACTCCCAGGATATAACCAAAGCCGTGTGTGTGTGTGTGTGTGTGTGTGTGTGTGTGTTGTGTACACCACACTCAGCAATGCGCAGAGGTTAATCCCACCCCTGTGTTCTGTGCTCAGGGACCATGCATTGCTGGAAACTGATCCCAGCTCTCTGCATGAGAAGCCTGTGCCCAGCTTCTGAATTATCTTTGGGATTTCCTCACCTCTGTTGTGGTGACTTTACCTTCTCAATGATCTGATCTTCTCAGAGTGCAATTGACTTTTTCTCCCAAAGGATCAGAGAACAAATAGTTCTGTGGACACTATGGTTCTCGTATGTGTTTCTTGTTCTAGTTGTCTTTGCAGAGAAGCACTCGGAGGCAAAACAAACAAGATGAACGATGCTGTGCCTCAATAAAACTTTATTTACCAAACCAGGTGCAGCTGTTTGCCAGTGATTGGGCTGCAGCTAGCTGACCCCTGTTCTAGTAGATTCTGTAGGCTCATGATGATTATTTACCAAGAGATGACTTTAGAAACAAGACATGAATTATTGTCATCTCTAATATTCTTAAATTTCTCAAAACCTTTGCTTTCCTGATTTCTTGCTTTGTATTTTGTTGTTGTAAACCACATGACCACAGACTTGGCAATTTTGTCTGGAAGTCAGGGGTCTAAAAAAATGTTTTGTTTTCTTTGGGGGCCATACCTGCGGTGCTCAGGGCTTACTCCTGGCTCTGTACTTAGGGATCAACCCTGGAGGGCTCAGGGAACCTTATGGGATGTCGGGGACCAAACCCAGGTTGGCCATGTGCAAGGCAAATTCCCTGCTCACTGGACTATCCTTAAATTTTTTTTAATGTAGAAGTACTGCTATTTATTCAGCCATTGATTAGACTGATTGAATTGGGCATGAACTCCACCTTACTTTTTTTTTTTTTAATTTTTATTAGTGAAACACCATGAGGTACAGTTGTAGACTTACAAATTTTTGTGCTTGGGTTTCAGTTATACAATGATCAAGTACCCAACCCTCCACCAGTGCCCATTTTCCACCACCACGGATCCCAGTATCTCTCCCACCCCCACCTTACTTTTTTTCTTTTTTATAAATTTACTTATTGAATCACTGTGAGAGAACTTACAAAGCTTTCGGGTTTAAGTCTCAGTCATACAATGATGATACAGCCGTCCCTTCACCAGTGCCCATTTTCTACCACCAAAAAACCCAGTATAGCCCCCATCCCACACCTTCCCCCTACCTGTGGGGCAGATGATTTCCACATTACTCTCCCTCTACTTTGATTACATTCAATATTTTGACACCAGACCCATCATTATTATTTGGAATTTTACCCCAACACTCAGATCTGCCAAAAAGGCAATTGTAGACAATTTGTTTTCTATTGTTGGTTAAGAATAACATACGATGTCGCTTGGCTGCAGTAGTGGCCGCACAATTTTGGAATTCTGAAATTTATCAATTAAATCTGGAGGGATTTCTGCCCAAACCTGCTGGGTTCCGAGATTTGTTCCTGAGTCTCTGGGATCATGGTCATTAAGCAGCTTGATCAGGAGCCAGAGAGGCTGTTTGTGGGTGGCAACCTGGAGTCTTGTTGTGGCGGGGAGGAAAGGGCCCGCTCCACCCCCATCCCATGAGGCCCTGCATGTCTCCTCACTGCGGCCCCAAACCTGACTGTCCAATGGCCTCTGGAGGATGGCGGCCACCAAGCCACCAAGGGGCAACAGGCGAAGGGTCAGCACCCTTTCCCTTCTAGGGTAGCCCAGCGCCAGTAACCTACTGCAGGGACCAGACACATTTCTGCCAAAAGCTGCTGGATTTGTTTCTGAGTCTCTGGGACTGTGGTTGTTGAACAGTTTGATCAGGAACCAGAGAAGCCTTGCCTCCAATTATATAGCTGAGCCGGAGGTGGTTTGTGGGTGTGTCTCCCACATAATTAACTTTTGGCTGTTTACTTTCTTGGAAAACTTGGCCCCAAGTTGTTGGGGTCTGGCCAAAAGCACAGCAGCAATTTTGGGGTATCTAGAAATCTGAAGGCACGATCAGGCTGCTGATGCACTCATCTCACATACAGATTGACCTGCTGGCAGCAGCATACCCCATTCACTATCCTGAAAATTTTTTTAACCTTCAAATCTATTTCAACTATTACAGGTCATTTGATGGGCTATTTGATTATAAGTATATAATGGGAGCATTCAATATCTTCTTTTCATATTACTTATCATCTTAGGGTAGTTTGCCTGAGTTATAATCCAAATCCTTTGAGTGCTTTGTTTAGCTTTTTTTTAAATGTAGGAGTACTCCTATGTATTCAGCCACTGATTAGCTGATTGAATTGTGCATGAACTCCACCTTACTTTTTTTTTCATTTTTTTATAATTTTATTTATTGAATCACCGTGAGAGCAGTTACAAAACTTTCGGGTCTAAGTCTCAGTCATATAATGAAACACCCGTACCTTCACCAGTGCCCATTCTCCACCCCAAACAACCCCAGTATATCCCCATCCCACACCCTCCCCCTACCTGTGGGGCAGATGATTTCCACATTACTCTCTCTCTACTTCGATCACATTCAATATTTTGACACCAGATCCACCCTTATTATTTGGGATTTTACCCCAACACTCAGATCTGCTGAAAAGGCAACAGTAGACAATTTGTTTTCTATTGCTGGTTATGAATAACAGATGATGTCACATGTCTGCAGTAGTGGCTGCGCGATTTTGAAATTCCGAAATTTTAACACTTAAATCTGGAGGGATTTCTGCCAAAACCTGCTGGGTTCCGAGATTTGCTCCTGAGTCTCTGGGATCATGGCCGTTAAGCTGCTTGATCAGGAGCCAGAAAAGCCGTTTGTGGGCGATGACTTGAGGTCTCATTGAGGTGGGGAGGACAGGATCGGCTCCACCCCCATGCCATGAGGCCCAAAATGTTTCGTCATTGCGGGCCCAAACCTGACTGTCCAATGGCCTCTGGAGGATGACAGCCAGTGAGCAGCCAGGGAGAAGCAGGTGGAGGGACAACACCCTTCCCCCACTGGGGTGGCCTGGCGACAGTAACCTACTGTGTGGTCCGGATGCATTTCTGCCAAAAGCCGCTGGGTTTCGAGATTTGTTTCTGAGTCTCTGGGATCATGGCTGTTAAGCAGCTTGATCAGGAGCCAGAGAGGCTGTTCGTAGGAGATGACTTGGGGTCTCGTTGGGGTGGGGAGGATAGGACCAGCTCCACCCCCGTCTTGTGAGGCCCTGCATGTCTTGTCACTGTGGGCCCAAACCTCTGGAGGATGGCGGCCACTGGGCAGCCAGGGGGAACAGGCCTAGGCACGAAACCTATTCCAACTGGGTTGGCCCAGCACCGTTAACCTACTGTAGGGACAGGACGCATTTCTGCCAAAAGCCGCTGGGTTTCGAGATTTGTTTCTGAGTCTCTGGGATCATGGCCATTAATCAGTTCAATCAGGAATCAGAGAGGCCATGCCTCCAATTATATAGCTGAGCCAGAGGTGGTTTGTGGGTGTGTTTCCCACATACCTAACTTTTGGTCATTTACTTTCTTGGTAAACTTTGCCCCAAGTTTTTGGGGTCTGGCCAAAGGTACAGCAGCAATTCGGGGGTATCTGGAAGTCTGACAGTGCCATCAGGCTGCTGATGCACTTGCCTCACAGGTACAGATTGACCTGCTGGCAGCACCATACCCACAATTGTTTAGCTTTTTATATGTTGCTATTGTCAGGGACAATTCCTGAACGCATAGCTAGGAGGGACCTGAGGTCACCAGCTGTGGTTTCCCCAAAATAAAACAATGCCTTGAGCATGGAGCCACTACCTTTTCCTTCACCCACTGTCCTTCCCAATGGGTTTGAGGGATGTCTTGGCAGCTCTGTCTATTACTCTTTTGAGGGACCTCTTCACTGTTTCCAGAGAGCTGCCCCAAGGTACATCCCAATCACAGGATGCAGAGGTTTCTTATCTCCACATCCATTAACACGCCGTGTCTCTTGTCTTAGCAGCCCTTCCACTGGGAGTGAGGTTAGTGCTCACTGTGGTTTGATTTGCAGTTCCCCAATGGTTAGTGAGACATGAGCCCATTGTCCATCTGCAGTTCTTCCTTGTGTGAATCTCTGTTTAGAGCATCCTCTATATTTCACACTGTTTTATCAGACTTTTAAAAAATTTTTACTATTCACAGGAGCTTTGTGTGTTGGGGGGGGAGTGCTAATTGCTTATGAGAAGTACAGCATGCAAATATTTGCTCCCATTCCATAAACGGTTTGTGTGTTCATTCTGTCTATCTGGATCTGTGCCCAGGCTTTTGGGTTTGGTGGGATTCTACTTATTCATTTTGCCTTTTTGGCTCGGGTTTTAGGTGTGGCTTCCCAAGAAACCACCAAGGGCACTGAGAGCTTCTGGTGAGGTCTTAAAGTAGGTTTATGGTTTCAATATTAAAATCAAGATGCTCAACCTTGAATCCATTTCAAGTTAATTTTTGTGAGTGGTGGCTGATAGGGGCTCACTCTTTCACATTTGAATATACAATTTTTCCATTGATTTTTTTCTCCATTAAGTTCTCATGATTCCCTTGTCAAATATCAGTTCAATATATATGCCCGGGCTAATTTGGGGGTGTTCAGTTATGTTCTACTGCATTCTGGATCCTTTCCTATACCCACACCATGCTGCTTCAGTAAGTTCTAAAGATGCAATAAAGAGACTCGAGTTCCATCAGAAAGATGCTAAGAGGACAACTCTTAAAGGTTATCTCAGCTCACGAATTGCAGCTGCGTGAGCTGGTGGACCTTCAATCTCTCCCATGAATGGAACGATCGGAGATCTGGCATCAGAGTCTTGAGCATTGGAGGGGAAGAAAGAGGCTTGCTAGCAGGAGAAGGTCAGGGAGGGGTGGGGGTGGGGAACAGCCACACCGGGTAGAGGCGTACTCCTAGGATAGAAAGCACCTCAGTCAGAGGAATGTCTTTCGGAGTTCTTACAACCAAGAGCAAAGAAGAGCCGCACAGATATTTAGAGTATCAAATTGTCAGAAGAAGAAAGAACCTCAATTATACCAAGGATCACAGTGTTTTTGCTTGATTTGAGGTTTGAACTCTAAGAACCTTGCTTTACAGGGAGGAATAGAGGGGCTTGTGCCTAGTTCTGCTCTTTTTTTCTTTTTGGAGAGACTGGGGAACACCCACGGCAGATAAAAGAGTTCAGTACTCATGGAGCCATTATTATTGCTATTGCCAATAATACCCACCAAGGAGTCAATGAAGCAGGAAGGTTCAAGGGTAGTATCCGCGGATATAAAACTACTCAGCCCTGCCAGGGACCCAGGGACCCCCCCAGGGCCACCCCCCCCTATGTTCAGAGAACCATGGGGTGTTAAGGTTCAGACTCAGGCCTCCTGCAGCCCTGACCACTGAGCTACCTCCCTGGCCCCTGCTCTTGCTTTCTACATAGCAGCAACTTCTGAACTTTGTATCCCTCTGGGTTGGCCCTTTGCTGTTTGGAGCTGATAAATGATGCTGATAAATCACATCATGTGGGTGCAGGACCACACCGCCACCCGCAGGTCTGACTTGTGTCTCTCCTGCAGTGCACTCCATAAGGCTGGCAGGGAGGGAGAACCGGCACACCGAGCCCTTCGCCAGCGACATGCACCAGGTGGCAGATGAGATTGTCTGCGCTTTGCTGCCGATCCTCCAGGATAAGCCGTTTGCCTTTTTTGGCCACAGGTATTTAAAAACACACTTCAAATGAGATGGGGGGTGGGGCGCATGACTCCAGTCACCCATCCTGCTGAAGTCAGTTCTTGGGGTTTTCTGAGCTGCTGATGCTTGTATGCGTTGATTGCACCATGTCAGTTCTATTGCTACAAGGAGGAAGTGCTCAGTGAACGTGGTCTGAGCAGTGCTCAGGCCAGAGTCACCCAGAGAGAAATTGCTCAACACAAGCCACCTAGGAACAATGCTGGCTGTTGCCATCCCAGGAAGTCTTCTGCATATGCCGCATAGGGAGCGGGAGATCGTCCAGAGGTTAAGGTGCCGCTCCTGGAGTGTGGTTCCTCTGACACACCACTCCAGAGCATGCAGCCGGGAATAGCCCCTGAGCAAGCTGCGTGCGACCCTAAAGCAACAACAAAGAGTGTGTGCATCCTACTGGCTCCCTGATTTAGACAGAAGCCCAGTAAAGCGGATAATCACCACAACTTTTTATTATTGCAGTGTAGGTAGCATGCTCATGATAGCGTTGACTGTGGTAGTGATGGACTGTGGTAGCGTTGTGACTGTGGCAGTATGTAAGTGTGATAGTGCTGTGAATGTGGTAGCGATGTGACTATGATAGTGTTGTGAGTTGTAGTGGTGTGACTGTGGTATTATTGTGACTAAGGTAGGATTGACTCTGGTAGTGTTGACTGTGGTCGTATTGAGTGTAGTAGTGTTGACTGTGGTAGTGATGTGATGGTGATAGTATTGACTGTGGTTATGATATGACTGTGTAGTGTTGTGACTGTGATAATGTTGTGATGGGTAGTATTGTGACTGTGGTAGTGTTGAGTGTTGTAGTGTTGAGTGTTGTAGTGTTGACTGTGGTAGAGTTGACTGTGGTAGAGTTGACTGTGGTAGTGTTGACTGTGGTTGTGATGTGTCTGTGGTAGTGTTGAGTGTGGTAGTATTAAATGTGGTAGTGTTGATTGTGGCAGTGATGTGGTTGTGGCAGTGCTGTGACTGTGATAGTGTTGAGTGTGGTAGTGTTGTGACTGTCATAGTGTTGATTGTGGTTGTGTTGAGTGTGGTAGTGTTGAGTATGGTAGTGATGTGTCTGGGGTGGTGTTGATTATGGTAGTGTTTCGACTGTGGTAGTGTTGACTGGTTGTGATGTGTCTGTGGTAGTGTTGACTATGGTAGTGTTGTGACTGTGGTAGTGTTGACTGTGGTAATGTTGAGTGTGGTAGTATTGTGTGGTAGTGTTGTGACTGTGGTAGTGTTGACTGTGGCAGTCATGTAGAATGGAACTGCATCTTCAATACCCGAGAACCTCCCTACTGTGCTTCTGCCTCTCTTCTATCTGCCTCTTCCCTCATTCCCACAGCTCACTGAGGATCCATTAGGAGAGAAGTGACACCTTTTCCCCTTTCAGGCAAAGCATTCACAACTCTTGCAGAAACTCTATCTTTTAAATTAAAAATAAAATCTATGAAAACGGTGTTTGTCAAGCTAGGTCACCTGCTTTTGAGGATATGTCATGGCTCCTGATTCTGATGCCTTATATTCAGCCTGGGGATACCCCCAGGTTTCTCCTGTCCTTTTCTGGCAGGCTGGGAAAATGGGGCCCCACTCAGGAAGAGTCAATCCATAATAATTTTAAATTATTGGCGTACCATAAGGACTCAATATATCTGGCTACTACAGTGTTAAAAGATATGGAAAAGCAATATTAAAAGATATCTATCACCCTACTATCCGAAATAATAGCATTGTAGCACTGTCCTCCCATTGTTCATCGATTTGCTCAAGTGGGCACCAGTAACATCTCCATTGTGAGACTTGTTGTTACTGTTTTTGGCATATCGAATATGCCACGGGAAGCTTGTCAGGCTCTGCCGTGCAGGCGGGATACTCTCGGTAGCTTGACAGGCTCTCCTGGAGGGATGGGGAAGTCGAACCTGGGTCGGCCGCATGCAAGGCAAACGCCCTACCTGCTGTGATGTGGTTCTGTGGTATTTTTACATGATGAGTTTCTATTTTATCCATTTATTTATTTATTTTAGTTTTGGGGCAACACCCAGCTGTGCTCAGGGATTATCCTGAGTCTGCACTCAGGAATGACTCCTGGCAGTGCTCAGGACACCATGTGAGGTGCCAGGGTTTGAACCCAAAATGGCCACAGGAAAGACAAATGCCCTCCAAATTGTACCATCACTCTGGCCCCATGAGGTCCTAGTCTATATATAATGCTTTGGATTGAACCCAGAACCTTAGACATGCAAAGCACCCAGCCACCCGGCTCCATGTACAACTCCTATTGTTTTTGTTTTTGTTTTCTTAAAGGGGGATTGGGGAGGGGCGCTGCACCTAGCTTGGTGCTTGTGGGATCAAGTGATGCCAGATGTCAAGTCTGAATCACCCACATCCAGCCCTAGAGCTATCTTTCCAGCCCCCCAGATCCTGTTTCATAGCTTTATCTGACTTATTTTTAAATAACATCAAGATTTATTTTATTTATTTATTTTTGGGCTACACCCAGCGATGCTCAGGGGTTACTCCTGGTTCTGTACTCAGGAATCACTCCTGGCAGTGCTCAGGGAACCATATGGAATGCGGGGAATCGAATCTGGGTTGGCCGCTTGCAAGGTACTATCTTTCCAGCCCCATGATTTATTTCACTAATCCCTTTTATTTTGTGGACAGAAGAGCAACTTATATCTTTTTCTATTATAAATATGTCAAAGAACTTTGGATGACGGGCACTGGTGGAGGGATGGGCACCTGATCATTGTATAACTGAAACCCAAGCACAAAATTTGTAAGCCTATAACTGTACCTCATGGTGTTTCACTAATAAAAATAAATAAACAAATAAAAATTTAAAAAAATTAAAAAAAAAGAACTTTGCCAAAAATTTGGTATACTTTTAAAAAAAAATAAAGCTCTTAGGGTTAATTCTTATAATGTAGGTTAACTGATATACACATTGTTAAAACTTTTAATAGAATTTTTAAATTACAGGAAATTTATACTCTATCAGCAATGAAACAGAGAGCCATGTTTCTTTATTCATTCCCCAGAGATATATAAGTACACAATTCCCAAACGGCCTTTGGCAGTACCAGCTGCCAAATACATCCACATAAAGCCCACAGCAGCTCCGAAACCTGTGAGTTCCAGCTCAATGTTATACTTTTGTTTCGTTTTGTTTGGAGATCATGCTTTGTGGTGCTCAGGGCTTCCTCAAGGCCCTGCACTCAGGGATTGCTCCTGGCAGGGCTCAGGGATTGAACCTGGGTCGCTTGCTTGTAAGATAGTGATTCACTGGCTGTGGTATCTCTCGTCTCCTCGGTTTGAAGAAGCACAGAGAAACTCACAAGTTTTGTGCATATGTGACATACATGTCTTGGGGGGAAAAGTGATGCTCGGGTCATCACAAGGGTTCCTCCACCTCATGGAAGGAAACTGTTTGGTGGCACTCAGACTTAGAGATGCAAGAGGCCATCAAGTCACACCCAACAGTATTGGGGCATTGGGAATTCATGCAATGCTAAAATTGCATCCCATGTGCTGTGAATATACAGGCTGCGGCCAACATGAGCTGACACTGCATTTATTTATTTCTTTATTTGTATTAAAGAACTGTGATTTGCAAAGTTATTGATAGTTGTGTTTTAGGCATATATTTCAATACCTATATCACACCAGTGTGAACTTCCCTCCCCCAGCGTTCCCAGATTCCCTCCTCATCCCAACCCCTGCCCCATCCCAGCCTACCACCTCAACAGGCACATGACAAAGTTGCCATGGTTGCAGCTTTGATCTTATGTTTTCCATGTTGTTGAGTCTGTGTTTGGGTACGTGGCTATGCCCCTCACTCCTATCCCCGGTATAACTGAAACCCTGATGCCTGTCCACCCGTTACTTTCTGTTCTCTTCTTCCCCCCTTGATTTCTTTCCTTCTCTGTCCTTCTCCTCTCCAAGCACTGGGGCCAGGGTGATCTTCATCTCCTCCTTTTACTGTAGTGCATTTCCTCATCCAGTTATTCTATATATCACAGATAAGTGAGATCATCCTGTGTTTGTCTCTCTTCTTCTGAGCGAACGCTGTATTCACCTTTAAAACAAAGTCTTAAAGATACTTACCTGAAAATAGCATTAGCCCATTAATCTTGAGAAATAATACATTTGTGTGTAAGTAACCATTCCCCCCTCTATACCAACCCCCTACAAAAAAATGTCCTCAGAATGATGCACTATGATCACTTAATCACTTAACTTCCTGTTAGTCGTCGATTTGCTCGAGTGGGCACCAGTAACGTCTCCATTTGTCCCTGTCGCGTGCTAGTGTAGCCCAATGGCATCTGTTCGCTCCGGGAACATGAAGGGCCTCAAACCAATCGTTCATGATCTTGACGAAGAAGTCTGACCATCTGGAAGGTGGGCGGCCACGCGGTCTTTTGACATCCCGTGGAATCCAGTCGGTAACAGCTCTAGTCCAGCGGTCGTCTTTAAATCTCATTACGTGACCAGCCCATCTGATTTTTGACACCTTGGCAAATGAGACAGCGTCCCTGATTCTTGATCGTCCACGGATGTCGGAACTCCGGATTCTTTCTCTCATTTGAGTGAAACGTGATATTCCAAGCATAGCTCTTTCTATTCTTCTTTGGGAGACCTGAATAGCGTTCTCATTTTGTTTGCTTAGGGCCCAGGTCTCTGAGGCATATGTTAATGCAGGAAGAACAGTGGAATCAAAAAGATGTGCCCGAAGCCGGAGGTTCTTCATCCTCTTAGCTATTTCTTCGACGTTCTTGAAGGTGTTCCAAGCTGCTCTCTTCCTCCTGCGCAGCTCGGGTGCCAGGTCATTTGTCATGTTGACCTCTCGACCTAGGTACGCATAGCTGTTGCATTCGGAGATTGTCGTTCCATTGAGAGCGAATGGGGCGTCAGGAACGAGGCTGTTTCTCATAAACATTGTCTTCATAAGATTCAGCTGTAGTCCTACCTTTCCACACTCACGGTCAAAGTTGGCCAGCATTTGTACCGCTTGGCTGATGTTTGGTGTTATTAAAACAATGTCATCAGCAAAGTGGAGGTGGTGTAGTAGCCGACCATCTATCTTCACTCCCATTCCTTCCCATTCCAGCGTCGCATGATGTTCTCGAGGGTGGCACTGAAGAGTTTCGGTGAAATGGTATCACCCTGCCGCACCCCTCTCTTGACATCAACGATCACTTCTTTGTAGAATGGTGAGATCCTGGTAGTGAATCCACAATACAGCTCACGGAGAATCCTGATGTATTGGGCTTGAATGCCCTGATTGGCTAGGGCTTCAATGACCGCTTCTCTCTCAACAGAATCAAAGGCCTTCTTTAAATCAATGAACATTAGACAGAGCGGCATCTTGAACTCCCGAGAAACCTCAATGAGCTTGGTTATTGTGTGGATATGGTCAATGGTGCTGAATCCTTTGCAGAACCCGGCTTGCTCGCATGGTTGTCCTTCATCTAGTGTTCTGCCAATCCTATTTAGGATGACTCGAGTGAACAACTTGTAGATGACAGACAATAGGCAGATCGGGCGATAGTTGCCAATGTCATGGATGTCTCCCTTCTTGAACAGTAGTACGGTCCTGCTGGTTTTCCATTGGGACGGAACCTTGCATTCAGACAGGTAGCGAGTGAAGAGCTGAGCCAGTGTATTGATGAGTACTGACAGCAGGTTCTTCAGGTGTTCAGGTCTGACCTTGTCTGGGCCGGGTGCTGTTTGTTTCTTTACTGACGAAATGGTGTGTCGGATTTCGGAAGGGAGAACGTTGGGAACGACATATCCATCCTGTGGAATTTGGTATGTCGGCAAGTGGACATGGCTATCGAAGAGATTTGAGTAGAAGTCATGGATAATCTTCTCCATTGCCGTTCTGGAGGATGTGATGGATCCATCAGGACGTCGGAGGGCAGTCATCTTGGTCTTAGAGTTGGCGAAGGACAGGCGGGCGTTACGAATACTTTTCCTGGCTTCTGCCGCATCTACCAGTACTTCTGCTCTTCTCTCTTTGAGGTCTTCCTTGATCGCATCTCTGCACTGCTTTGCGAGCTCGGACGTTAGCTTGCGGTTGCCTGAGGCATGCGGCAAACCACGCTGGCGAATTAGCTCAAGAGTTTTTGAAGATAGGCAATTTTTTGTGGCTATCTCTCTCTTGGCATTCCTCGCACATTCATGGAGGTGCTGAACCACTATGATAGGCTTTTGCAAATGTGTTTGTTAAGGTATAGATTAATGGAGGGTGGCTGGCTTCTCATTTCTGCTTCTCCAATTCTATGGTGACAATGCCCTAAGACCTCTGGAAATGTCACCTCTGCGCTCAGACAAGAATAAGAGTCAAAGGGGCTGGAGCAATAGCATAGCATGCGGCCAACCCGGGTTTGATTCCCAGCATCCCATATGGTCCCCTGAGCACCGCCAGGGATAATTCCTGAGTAACCCCGTGCATCGCCGGTGTGACCCAAAAAGCCAAAAAAAAAAAAAAAAAGAATGAGAGTCAAAAAGACAATTAAAATGGGAAGCGGGCTTGGAGGGCTAGAGCATGCCTTTGCCAAGCCGGGCTGTATCCACCTGGTCCTCCAAGCACCACAGGGTGTGACCAGAAATAAAGAAAACAATCAAGTCTTACAAATAGCCTGAGCTGACCTTGGGAGCTCCCAAGAGTCCCCACAGCAAACTAGGAGAATTGCTGATACATCATACAGTGATAATTGATGGATATAATTTTGGGTTTGGTTTTGGAACATCTTCAGCAGTGCTCAGGTTTTACTTCTGCCAGGACTCAGGCGACTGTATGGGGTGCTGGGGATCAAACCGAGGTCTTCAGCATGCAAGCCAGAGCCTAGTGTGCTGTCCTATGTCTTGGGCCCCTGCATGACAGATTTCTTAAGGAAACACAAAAGTTGATTTTAAGATATTGTAGAAATCAATACTGTTTCGTAGGTTGTATTAGCTAGAATATCTTTAGACCCTTTTGGGAGGGTGTCCCCAGCCGTGCTCAGGGGTCACTCCTGGCCAGGCTCAGGAGACCAAATGCTGAGGACCAACCCGGCTCAACCACTGTCAAGACAAGCACCTTAACACTTGGACTCTCTCTCTAGCCTTTAAAACCACTTTTTGTGCTGATATAAATTGTTGGAAAATATACTTTTTGCATATACTGGTTTCTATCCAGAGCCTAGAAATCTTTTGCCCTTTACAAACCGTAGTTATGATTCCACCAATTTGCACTTCTTTGGCAATTTGATGATTCTTTCTGTGCATTATGACCTTTGACAGCTCACAGTGAGACTTGGGGGGCCAATCATGTGTCTCTCTCCTGATGTAGCATGGGATCCTATATTGCTTTTCTGACCGCCGTGTGCCTGAAAGAGAAACACAAGCTAGAACCCATTCATTTATTTGTGTCCAGCTCTACTCCCCCTCACGTAAGTAGTAATTTTGGTCTTATGTGTGCTGGGGTGGGACAAAGCAAGTCTTTCATTAACCTCTGAGCAGAACTTGTGTTCAGCAAAGAGTTGATGGCAGAAATATAATCAGCAAACACGAGGATCCCTGAATCTCAATGACTTCCCTTCCCTTTTACTAAAATGCACATTGACCATTCTCAGGTCTCTGAGCCAGTGTGGATTGAGGCAGTTTTTCCTGACATCCCAGGTCAGGAGCTAAAGTCAACTTTGCATCAAGTAACCCACCAGAGCCAGGAAAACATCCTTCATAATCTCCAAAGAGGGGCCGGAGTGATAGTACAGCGGGTAGGGCGCTTGCCTTGCAACCGGCCCACCTAGGTTCAATCACTGGCATCCCATAGGGTCCCCTGAGTGCAGAGCCAGAAATTAATCTTGCGCACCGCCAGGTGTGACTCCCCCCACAAACAAACAAACAAAAATCTCAAGAGACCCAAACTTGAGTAACCAAACTTAGAAAGGAGCCTATCAAGAGGGCAGGCTGGATGTTGGGGGCGGGGGGCAGGACAGGGGGAACCTGGGAACATTGGTGGAGGGAAGATGACACTGCTGGTGGGATTGGGGCTGCAATATTGCATGTCTAAAATTCAACTAGGAGGAACTTTGTGAATCACAGCTTTAATTTAAAAAGTGTGGAAGAACAACAAAGGAAGGAAGGAAGGGAGGGAAGGAGGGAGGGAGGGAGAGAGGGAGGGAGGGAAGGAAAGAAGGAAGGAAGAAAGAAAGAAAGAAAGAAAGAAAGAAAGAAAGAAAGAAAGAAAGAGAGAAAGGAAGAAAGGAAGAAAAAATCTCTAAAGAGGCCAGAAGGGAGAGATAGTACAGGGGTGAATGGATTGCCTTTCAGGGGGCAATCCTGGCTCACTCCTTGGCACCATATATATTTCCCTAAGTACTGTCAGGAGTTATCTCCCTGAGCCCAGGACTGGAAAGATGCCTTGAGCACCGCATGGAGTGTGGTCCAAAGCCTATCCCCCCACCTCCTTCATTCCCCTACCCACCCCCAAAAAATTCTCCAGAGAAGACAGTGAGGTCAAGTCCTGAGTCTCCTGAGGCTGGCTTTTAAGGTTGGTGATATTCTGCCTCCTCCCTGACTCTGCTCCCAGCCCCCCTTCCATCTTGATCTTGAGCCCCCATCCAGAGAAAGGCCCTGATTGGTTAAATCCAGTTAGGACACCGGGAAGGGGGTCCTGATTCTACGAAGGATGAGGTGCCTGGGAAACTTGTAGCTCCAGAAGATCTCCCCAGGACCCTGAGTAAACAAAGCAGACTTTCCCTGAACTGGTTTCTCCTTGTGGATGAGTGCATGACCCAAACACACATATTCTATCCTGCATGTCTCAAGTCAAAGGCCCGGCGCCGTCTACAGGAAACCGAAAATGAATTATCTGAGGATCAGATGGTTGGTCTCCTTAAGCTGTTTGGCGGCACCAACGTGAATGTTTTTGATGACAAGGAATTTCTCAAAAGTTATGGTCCCAAACTGATGGCAGATGCACGCCTGGTTAGCAATTACGTGTAAGTAACCAAGACAAATGGCCCTATTTCAAATTAATTACTGGTAGGGAAATGGAGGTTGGCGGGTCTCGTCCCTGAGGCTGCGTCTCGGAGATGGGTCTCGATTTCTTCGCGTGAGATTTATTTTATTGGCATAGAGGAGTCTGGGAACAGAAATGTTATCAAGAAAGCATCATGCTTTTTTGTTTCTTTTTTTTTGTGGGGAGGGAAGGGAGCTTCTGGGTTGTACGTGGCAGTGCTCCCAGGCTACTCAGGGCTCTGTGCTCAGGGGCTACTCATGGCTCTGTGCTCAGGGATCACTTCTGGCTGAGCCCAGGGGACCAAATGCAGTGGAAAGGGATCCAGCCAGGGTTGGCACATGCGAGACAAGCCCCTTAACCCTGTGTTATGTCTCAGGTCCAGGTTTCTTTCTTTCTTTTTTTTTTTTTTTTTGGTTTATTTATTTCTTGGGTTTTCGGGCCACACCTGCTGGTGCTCACAGAGCATTTCTGGTGATGCTTGGGGGGCCATTTCCAGTGCTGGGGGAATCCAACAGGGATTGGCAGTATGCCAGGCAAGGGCCTTAGCTACAACCTCTGCTTCTAGGCACACAGAGGCAGTACAGGGGCTCAGGTGCTTGCCTGGCATGTGACTGGCCCTGGTTTAATCCTTGGCACTGTGTGATTCCCCCAAGCATCACTGGCTGCAGTTCTAGTGACCCCCAAGTACCACCAAGGTATCCCAGGTGACCCTCAGTACCAGTGAAATGCAGGCCCATCTGGCTGAAGTGCATCTAGAGCACCTCTTTGGAGCCTCCTTCTCATGTAACAAAAACTACCCCCAAACCATGTGTGTATGTAGAGTTCAACATACATGGTTCAGGGGGGCGGGGCCTGGAGAGGGAGTACAGCAGCCTTATAAGGCACTTGCTTGGAACACAACAGACCTGGGCTTCATCCCTGGCACTGCACAGGGTCCCCAGACTTTCTCCAGGAGTGATCCCTGAGCACAGTGCCAGGAGTAGTCAGCCCTGTGCACCACCAGGTGTGGCCCCCAACAAAACCCCAAAGCATATGTGTATGTCTCACATGATGAGTGAGCATCCAGCTGAGCGGGAGCCCCCTCCTGCCCCACGCCCATTTCCATTGCTTTTCAGCTCTACAAACTTCCTGGCAGTATCAGGCCTTTCCACCCACCACCAACGGGTGGCAGAAATGCACATCTGCACTTCTGCACTCACTGCCTGCTGTCATTAAGCCTTCTCCCCTCCTCCGTCTCTCCTCCAAGGCCCAGACATCTGCTCTGCCCCAGTCTGTATTGTTTGTGGAGTTTTGTTTTTTTAGGGCTTTTTTTGGTTTGTTTGTTTTGGGCTTTTTTTGGCATCTCAGCGATGCTCAGAGGTTTCTCCTGGCTCTGCACTCAGGAATTACTTCTGGTGGTATTTGGGGGACCATATGGGATGTCGGGAATTGAACCCAGGTCAGTAAAATGCCCTCCTCATTGTACTATGGCTCTGGCCCCCCCCTTGTGTGTGTTTTTAACTCTTAATTTTTTCCCCAGGCATTTCTATTTGGATCATGTCTGCATGGCGTCTGCTGCAAAGCCTGTTGAAGGGATCCTCTTTCCGGGGGGTGCTCGGGTGGGGCAGGAATTTCCTCCAGGCTGAGCCAGCAGGTTCCCTGTTCATTCCCACCCTTGACCATTTCTCCCCATAAATCCTTCCACCCCGGATCGCAGGTGGTTGAAAGCCCCTGAGCGTCCCTGAGCTTCTCTGCACTTGTGGATTTGCTCCAACTCTTCATGATCCATTACAATTTTTTTTCTTTGGGTCTGGGGGCAGGGGTGAGGAAGGGGGCACCCTGGTAGTGCTGGGGGACTACTGGCCACTCCTTTCTTGTTTGCTGATGCATTCAATCATTTTATTTTTTCTTCAGAACATTCTCTTCCTTGTTGGGCTGTCAGAAACAACCCTGGCCCTTCTGGTCCCCACCTTCCATCTCCACAGCTCCACCAGGAGGCATGAACAGCTTGTGGCTTTCTATCACTCTCAGGATGATGAAGTTCCTTTCGAAGGCCTCAACCTGTCCCCACCTTCTCCCTTCACTGTCCCGCAGCTCTGCGTCGTGCTCTAATGACATTTTTTTTTCTTTTTGGGTCACACCTGGTGATGGATAGGCCTTTCCCCTAGCTCTGCACTCAGGAATTACTCCTGGCGGTGCTTGTGGGACTATATGGGATGCAGGGGATCAAAGCTGGGTCAGCCGCGTGCAAGGCAAATGCCCTCTTCACTGTTTTATGGCTCCAGTCCTTCTAATGACACATTTACTTTGCCCCCACCTGCCCTCACCACACAGGTCCCTCACCAAGTTTTCTTTCCTCTGGATCTTACAGTCAACTCGGCCTCCCAGGACAGACAAACTGTCCCCACTGCTCCTGGTCACCAAGGATCTCACTAATGTTGTCCCCCAACCTGTCTCCAGGCAGTAGGATGGGAACTGTTTGTTCACCCCAACTCTCTAGGGGTTGGTGCAGCTGCTGAAACCCTCTCGGGGACTCTTGCTCTGCTGGGATTAAGTGGAACTGGGTCCAGCTGATTGGGCCCTGCTTTGCTTCGTTCACTGCAGCCCCTCTGCAGGAGAGTGCTGTCCTGGGTTGGCACCCTGCTGGCACCAAAGTGTCCTCTACAGCCACTTGTACGGTTCTAGGGACAGTGAGCTCGGAACATGCCCTGGACCCCTGAGGCCCAGTGGCCTGACGCTGAGAACAACACAACCTGTATCACAGGAACAGAAGAAGAGAGGACAGGAAAGGCACATTCCTCTAAAGCGGAGGGTCCCAGACTTACTGGGCTTGTCATGCCCTTTTCAGAGGAAAAAAAAATCACTCATTGCCTCCCTTTTCCCCTGCTGTGAAATTTATCTTCTTGGGCTCAAGAGAGGGTACAGGGGAGAAGTCACCTCCCTTGGGTGCAGCTGGTCTTAAATAAGGTTCCCTGAGGCGACCCCCTGCCCCCCAGGACTGCTCTCTGTGTGCAGAGCCAGCAGTAAGCCCCAAGCATTGCCGGGTGTGGCCCAAGTTCCTCCAAAAGAAATCTACCTTCTTTCAGCAAACAGAAAAGCCCCCCAGTGGTACCTGAAGCTACCTGTGCCTCCTTAATCATTCCAATACCTCCAGGCCTAGAGAAAGTGTTGCCTCCTCCTCTCAGGAAACGCTGACCATGAGGATTAACAGGGAAAGAGTCAGATGTGGACCAGGATGGTTTGGTTTGGTTTTGGCTTTAGAACCACACCTGGCAGTGCTCAGGGCTGACTCCTGGCTCTGCACTCAGCAATCACTCCTGGCAGAGCTTCTGGGACCTTATGGGATGCTGGAGATCGAACCCAGGTTGGCCATGTGCAAGGCAAACACCCTCTCTGCTGTGCTATCACTCCCAATCATGACGATTTCTGAGCGATATGTAATTTTTTTTTTTTAAGCTACGATGCACCCTCCAAGGCTGTCCTTTGCTGTGACTTGACTTGCTTTGCTGGATCTGAGGACATCACACAGGATCTAGAAGGTGAAGTCATTCATTGGGAATATATGTCCCATGGTTATCAGCCAATGTCCAGCAGCAGTGACCACAATGAATACAGCTGGAGTTTGTGTTTTATCTGATTAGAGAGAAGAGGTTCTCGTTGGAGAATGGATGTCTGAACCACAGGCTCTGAGGCTCAGACAGACTGGCATCACCTTTTATTATTTTTATTTTAATTTTTTTTGGGGGGTCACACCTGGTGATGCTCAGGGGTTCCTCCTGGCTCTGCACTCAGGAGTTACTCCTGGCCATGCTCAGGGGACCCTATGGGATGCCTATAGGAATCAAACCCAGGTCTGCTGCGTGCCAGGCCAACACCCTCTCTGCTGTCCTATCACTCTGGCCCCTGGCAACACCTTTTAGAGAAATGATTGAGGGGGCAAATATTCTGTGCCTGGTGGGGAGAGCTCATCATCCCTCTTTGTTCAATGCAATTTTCTTTTTCAGCCTGGAAAGATATTACCAGTGGCAAAGTTGACATTTGCGTGCGCCCTGGAAATCACTTTTATTTACTGGAACCCAGAAACGAGGCCTTTGTGCAAAAATATATCACCAAGTGTCTGGAAGTCTCCATACTGGCCTATCCTTAGTCATCTTTCCTGCCTATCAGAAGATACTCTGAGTAATCACGTGATGCTCTTAGGTTTCAAAAATAGTGTCTTACAGAAGCTGTTACTGTGTTTCGGGGGTGGGAGCAGCTGCAGCTTGGAGGCTTCCTTGATTTTCCTGTCATACTCTCATATGATCTCATGTGAACAGCTATCAGCAATAGAGTGACTTGGGGTTGGGGATGGAGTTTAGCAGTGAAGTGCTCACTTTCTGCATGCTTGAGGCCATGCACTTGATCTCAGTGTTATCAAAAAGAAAATTTGATAAACATGGTTGTAGCCTGGAAAAATGATCCGCTTTCCCCCTTTCATTAGTTCCAATGGAGGAAGAGAGAGCCCTGCGAGCTTGATCTGAGCTTTAGCGAAGTGCTGTGTCCCATTTAATGAAGAAAATGGTCATGGGTAGGAGAAGGGGATGGAAAGGCCGCTGGGTCTGGGTGGTGATACACGAACTTTGGTGGAGGATGTCATGAGGCTGAACTCATAAGATCTGATTGGATTATACTCCGATGGAAAATCTGTGAAATCTGAATTCGAAACAGAAATTGTTTTTGAATTCAGATTTCAAAATTTCAAAAGACCTGTTTCGCTCAGAGAAGGTGGTTCTTAGCCACCGTAAGTCTGCAGGACACCCAATCTGCCTCTAAGGGTCCCTTGTATATCTCTGTAGCTGGCTCTGTGTCGCTCAGGGTGAGCCCTCCAGAGACCCCCACAATCTAGAGTCTGATGTCTCACATGGAGAGTGACCAGGTACCACTATTATGCTTGAGATACGACCATCTCCTTCAGCGAAGGTCTGGTCTGGAGAAAGCAGTACAGTTGGGAACAAATAAGAACTGATAGCAGGGCAAAGTGGTAACCTGGGAAGGTGAGCTGAGTAATCCCAGAGTAGAGTTCCCGGATGCCTCTGACAGCAAAGGGGCTACATGGATCCTGCCATTGCTGGCAATGCCCAACTAGTGATTGTCTCCTGAAATCTCATTAAATCAGACCTCCTAGTGTCCTGTAGGAGCCTGGATCTTCACAATAACTTTAAGATTTGATGTAACCAATCATTTGATGTAATCAATGTCTCTCCTTTGGGGTTTAAGCTGCTTAACACAGCCCAGAGTCAGAAATGGCTAATTGTTTTGAAAGCATTGCTAGGATTGTGAGCACTGCATGAGTTTTTGCTTTTATGATGGTTTTAAAATTATATTAGTGTCTTAGCAAATGGCACCTAAGGGTAAGCAAACAGGAGATGCAATCAGGAGATGCTTTTCAGAATGTATAATTCCTTTGAATCATGTGAAAATCATTATAGAAAAGGACTTTGTCTTAGAAATAATAAACTTGGGCTAAAAATCATGTTAAAAGTGTATTTATTACTTGTTGTGGTTTACTTCTTCCCTCCCTTCCTTCCTTCCTTCCTTCCTTCCTTCCTTCCTTCCTTCCTTCCTAGCCATCCCCAACCCCCAGCCCTTTTTATTTTTTTATCTTCCTTCCTTGAACTTCTCCTAATTATTCTTGGCTAACTGGGCTGCCAGTTCAATGTGATGGCCGAGGAGGTGGTGTAGCTTGGCCCCTGTGCTACTGAGCACACCTAGGCTAGCCCAGCAGATTCCGGAGGTCTTTAGAGCTGTGACCAGTAATGCCCAAGGGACTCCTGGGTGCAGGGGACGGAGCTGGACTATTTCTCCTGCCCCTTGTCCTTGGATGTGACTCCAGAGCTCCCATATAGAAAGATGCCATTTCATACAAGAGTCGTTTGGATTTGTGACGTTCTGTTTGAGCATCATTAACTTCATTTTGTCTGTAAGTGGGAACTTATGATGTAGCTAAGGCCCAGTGCTGAATGGGGCTGCTCCACTGCCCTCCCCCTATGTGACGCCTTGTAATTAGCTTGGAGAGTTTTCGACCCTTAGAGGGAGGGAAGAGCATCACTCCACAGTCTTTCCTGCTTTGCACACGACCTCACTGTGCCAGGTGGCTGAGTAGCTTTTGAGAATTCTCTTTACTTTCTGTAGTTTTCTAGATCACAAATCAAGTCAGATTTCTTAAAGATTCAACGCAGAGAAAAACAGGGTGACCCTGCATATATATTTCCCAAAGCACTCTTAACATCACCTGGTTAAATTTCATTAACTAAGGAGCATCGATATAGCTATAACTAAACATCATAATTGATGTTACTAGCAAAAATTAAAAAAAAAAAACAAAAAACGACCTGTCTCTTCTCTCCAGTTGACAGGATTACAGAGCCTGCAAGAGGCAAGCGCCTTAGTCTGGATGCTAAATCCCATATTTTTCTATCAGTTCTTCCGCCTTAGACACATAGGCCCGCATGGCGTCTTCCCTCGACATCCCTGCAAAGAGACAAACAGATCATTGCTCTGAGAGACGCGTGGGACAGAGTGGGGTGGGGTGTCCCAAATGCTGGACTTAAGAGTCAAAAACCTTTCTTGAGGTTCCACGCCTCCCATTTTGCTTTGCTTTTGATATCCAACAGGACCGGACACCCTGCGGAGGGAAAGGAGATGTTCACGCTTGCTTTGCCACTCTCTTCTTCTGGAAGCATGGCTCACACCCCAGGCTGGGCTCACGTTCAATCCCCAGCACCGAGCCGAGTGTGGTCCCCCAAACAAAACATACGAGCTAGAGCACCAGGCCTGCAGAGATAGTACAGTGGGGAGCATATCTGCCTGGCACACAGCTCAGATGGTCCCCTGAGCCCCACCAGGAATGATCCCTGAGCACCACCAGATAGAGCAAAAAGAGAGGAAAAAAAAAATCTAGAATACCGAGATTAATGTCTCCGATGATTGACTGCTTATAAAGCCCGTACAACTCCTTCAGCTCCTCATCATTGGGTCTCGTTTTCAGCTTCCTGACGTCTGCCGAGACCCGATCGAAATCAGCCTAAAACAAGAGGGGGAAAGATACGAGTTATTTGCTGACCTCCTGGGAGTGCTGACGTGGAGGAGTTTCAGGGTGGGACTCTCCAACAGGAGGAGGAGGCTCAGGCAAAAACCAGCCAGGGCCACACTGCTTTCTCCACACGGATGCTCACTCACCTGTGTCTTTGCTTTTTGATTTTGGCCCCTTCTGTGGGGCTGGGGTGGGGGGGTGGGCACAGGGTCATATCATGGAGGTGCACGGCAGGCTATGAGGTGCTGAGATTGAATCCAGGGCACTGTGTGGAGGGCACTTGTCTTGCATGAAGCAGACCCAGGTTCAATCCCTGCTATCCCCTAGGGTCCCTGGAGCCAGGAGTGACCCCTGAGCAGAGCCTGGAGCAAGCCCTGAGCATGGCTGGGTGCGACCCAAACAAGAATAAAAAACAAAGCAGAGAAATAGCAACATATTTTTTTCTTGTTGTTTAAAAGCATATATGTACATCATGGACTGGAGCGATAGTGCAGTGGGCAGTGCACTGCCCTTGTACACACGGGACCCAATTCAATCCTCAGTACCCTATTTGGTCCCTCGAACCCTGCCAGGAGTGATCCCTCGGCACAGATCCAGGAGTAAGCCTGAGCACTGCTGGCTGTGGGTCCCAAAACAAAACAAACCAGAAAACAAAGCACACATGTAGCTATGAGTTTGCTCCTGGCACGGCTTTCTTGGTTACCCTTAGGAGTACCTTCTCCTCTTCTCCTAAATTCCATACGAGAAAGATAATTAACACAAATGAACTGCAACCCCCTCAAAACAAAAATCCACAACCTGCAAAAACTAACTTTGGAGTTGGTCATTGGGGAACAGTGTTCCCCCAGTGTGCCCAGACATGTTGTGCAACGGATCCAGGCAGATGTGAGGTGAAGGATGACAGGCACAATGGAGAAACACCCTCCGGGAACAGCCAATAACTGTTCACCTTATTGCCAAATGCACACAGTTTTATAGAGGGTCTCGGCTTACAAGAAGGTCCAATCACATGAAGTTCAGCATTATTGGGCCTATCACCTCTTCAACTCTGTTTTGCCCCAGTCCAATCCCAATCAAGGCTAGATGTTGCGGTTAGATGACTTGCTAAGCATACGTGACAGTTTCTGTGTCTTGGGTGTATGTAACTAAGAGGTCGAGGGATGCTCAAGGCTGAATGCCCAGTGCTGACACCCTGTTCTTGCCAACTTTGCTCCCTTTTGCGCAAGGCTTCATTTCTGGGCCACTTTGCCATGTCAGGTCTTATCTGCTCCAGTGTCCATTGCCATGCTCTACAGTTGGTGAAAACAGGCAGTTACTAGAGAGAAAGAGGAGGTGGTGATGGGCAGGTAGGGGAAATGAGCAGAGAGGTGTTTTATTTTGCTTTGGGGGCCACACCTAGTAGTGATCAAGGGTTACTTAAAAATTACTCCTGGCTAGCTCAAGGGGCCATAAGGGATGCCAGGGATCAAACCCGGGCTGGTCAGCCGTGTGCCAGGCAAGTGCCCTCCCTACTGTACTATCCCTCTGGCTCTGGGATCAATCTCTTTAAAGTCAGGAGGAAAAATACAAGCCTTGGATGTCTTCACTGTGTGTGCGGTGCAGGGGGTTAAAAAAAAAATGAACGGACAAAATAAACAGACAAACCAGATCCAGCCCAGGCTCGGCTGGCCCGGCAGTTGGGGCTCCCGCAGCTCAGCGAGTTTGGATGCACAGTACTTACTTTCCGAATACCATTCTCTCATTCTTTTACCTTGTTTCCTTTCTTTTAAAGCAGAAATTGTCAGCAGCATCTGGTCAACCAAGAGAGGTTGCATACTTTCCCTCCCACCCGCAGCCCCGCCCACCCCCAGTCTCCTTTTCACGCCTGTGCTCCTTTTATCCAAACATCCAAAGATGGGAGGATGGTGGAGAGGAACAGAGTGCAGACAGTTTGCACGTGGAGCGTCAGGGCCACAGTTCCACTGGGTGACGCAGCACAGAAGCCGGGGGACCAGGGACCAAGATCTCCACTGAAATCACCTTGACAACGGCCCGCCTCCTCAGGGCGCCTGTGCAGGTCTGAGAGGCTCAGGCACAGGTCCTGACACAGCCCTGCTGACTTCTCTGAGTATCTCCTAGGGCACAGCTTTAGACACAGAACACAGGCTTGAATCGTGGCCTCATCTGCTGTGTGATGTTGGGCAAGTTATTTCACCTCTCCGTGCCCATTTTGGGCTGGAGCCATAGCACAGCGGGTACGGTGTTTGCCTTGCATATGGCTGACACTGCCGACCAGTGTTCGATTCCTCCACCCCTCTCGAAGAGCCTGGCAAGCTACCGAGAGTATCTCACCCACACAGCAAAGCCTGGCAAGTTACCCCTGACGTATTCGATATGCCAAAAACAGTAACAACAAGTCTCACAATGGAGACGGTACTGGGCCTGCTCGAGCAAATCGATGAACAACGGGAGGACAGTGTGCCCATTTTGGTCATCCAGAAAATGATATTTATTGGACACCATATGTCAGGCACTATTTTTAAATACCTGATCCACCCAACTCCTTTCTCCTCCTCCTCCTCCTCCTCTTCCTCCTCCTCGTTCTCCTCCTCCTCCTCCTCCGCCTCCTCCTTCTCCTCTCCTTCTTCCCAGGGGAAGGAAGGGGAGGAGTTGATTCACACCCAGTGCTTGCTCTGTGCTCTGGAGTCCATGTGGAACCTGGGTCTCCAGTTCACTGAACTATCCAACCCAATTCCCTTCTCCTTAAGCATCCTTCACTACTGCATAAGGAGATGGAGGCATGGAGAGGTTAAGTCACTGTCACAGGCTAAGCATGCGGACCTTGCGTTGGATCTGGGCTGACGCTGGAGTAGGAGTCCAACTCCAAAAGCACATCACTTCGGTTCAAGGGAGCCAGGCACAGACAGTAAGATTCTCTGCAGACAATTCCTTTTTTGTTCTTTTTTCCTGTTTGGATCACACCCATAGATGCTCAGGAGTTCCTCCTGGCTCTGCACTCAGGAATTACTCTCAGTGATGCTTGGGGGGCCTTATGGGATGCCCGGGATCGAACCTGGACAGCCGTGTGGAAGGCAAACTCCCTCACCACTATCCCTCCGGCCCCGACAATTCCTTTCTTTAAAAAAGATAGTTTAGAATAATGTTTAACAAGAAAATGCTCAAAAGAACAACGTTAAGCGCAGGAATAAAACTGCGCACGCAGCGCGCGGCTGGTGCCTGGGGGTGCGTATATATGCACACTTGTACTTAATAATTGTGTGCATATGCCCCCACCACGTGCACACACACACATACACACACACACGCGTTCCTAGTGCGTGTTTATTTGCACCGTTCTCTCTTGCCCCTACTTTCCACCCTGAACAGACACCACCCTGCCTCTCGCGGCCAGGTGGAAAGTGCATCCTCCCCTGGGGCCCGGGCCTGCACCGCGCCGTAGCTGGCAATCCCCGGGGGGGGGGGGGGGGGGGGGAGTGTCACAAGAGTTGCCATGGGGACCCGGGCTGGCAGTCAAAGGCCCACAAGCACCGCTCTGAGAGGGCGCGGGGACGGGGACCCGGACGCTCTCCGAGGCGGCGGTCCCAGGAGCCGACTCCCAGCATCACCGGCTCTCACGGGTCACGGTCGCCCGGGCACTGCCCTCCCCAGCGGCCGCCCCACCCTCGGACTCACCTGCAGGGACATAGCTGCCACAAGCCGCTGCTCCGGGTTCCCGCGGGGGCTCTGGAGCCCCTGCACGCCCCGAGTTTAAAGGGAAACGCCGCCCCGCCCGCCGGTTCCCCATTGGACGCGTGCCCGGGACAGCCCTGCTCTCATTGGACCCCGGCACTGGGCGGGGCGGCCCCGAGTGGTGATTGGCACCCGCCCGTCCAAGCACGGCCTCCTGGGGCCCCGCGCGCAGCTCAGTAGACTCTTTAGGCGGTGCGCGGAGTTGGCAAAACCAAGGGCGCGGGATTGCAAGGAGCTCCTCTGAGCTCTTGGCTCGCTCTTCGATTCTTTCTCTAGAGAGAATTTGCAGGAAGCCCTGAGAGGGCTCCCATGGCACGGAACTCACGGGGGATTCCTTTTTCTTGTAAGCCTCTCGTTTTTTAATTCCTAGAATCCTGCAGGCCAGAGCGTTTATTTAGGTCACAGCGCATCCGGGCACAGCCCATCACGACCGGGAGAAAGGGCGCTGGCAGCTGGTGCTCTCTCTTTACAGGACACACACCCTGCAGCCCCGCTGCCTGAGACTACCGCCATGGCCCGGGGCTGTTCAGTTTGACCCGTTTTTTCCAGGGGAGCGAGCCCAATCACCCCCAAGTCTGGATTCCCCAACCTTGAATGGGGTTGTGATTCCCAGAGACGCCAAGAACTGGCAGGGCAGTTTCCGGGTGTAGGAATAATTGGTTTCTACCTTTTCATTCAAGAAAGAAGCCACTGGGGCCAGAACAGTAGAACAGAGGGCAAGGCGTCTGCCTAGCACATGACCAACCTGGGTTCAATCCCTGGCATCCCATATAGTCCCCCGAGCACCAGCCTTAAACTTAAACTTTGAAAGGGGAGTGCGGGGTGGGGGATGAGGGGGTTGCACAGAGGCAGAGAGACAGAGAGGGTTTTCTTCCTTTTCTCCATGCAGCTAATGTTTTCTATTAACCATTTAGAATCAGATGTCAAATAGCAGCTTCAGGCACTGAGAGTTCTGGCTGGAACAGTTCCTTGTTTCTGCAGAAGCCAAGATACAACTGAAACGTTTTGTGCTTCTTGTCCTTGGAGGCTATGGGGAGTTGGAGGGAGGTAGGCTGTGTTCAGATTATTTTCTAAGCCTAGAATGTTGTCTCAGCATGTGGGTTCTTCCCCCTCCTCTGCCTGAGCCCTGGGTGTCCTGTTTCAAGGTGACAATGGAAATGCAGTGTCCTCTGTCCTGCTAGAATAGCATACGGGTTCACTTTCTGAAGCCCTGAGGGATTGACGCCATTTAAATGGGCAATGAAGGGTTCTTGATTTTTGCTTGTTTGACAAATTTCTGCCTCTTGTACAGGTTTATAACAGTTTGCTTTCGGCTTTAGCTTAAGACTTAGAAGCCTTCCCATTGCTCTGGCGTTTCAATGTGCAGGACTGTCTCATGGCCAAGAGTGGATGTGGTGCAAGCCTGCAGTTATGATTTTGTTATTTATTTCACAAAATGCCCCTTGGCCCAAACCTGCTGTTGTATATCTTCTTTGTAATCTAATTGTGATAATGTCGCATAATCTCTTACTTGGCAAAATTTGTCTGAGGTTCCCCCAGGTGCCAGGTGTGCACCGAGTTACTCTGTGTATCGAGCTTTGATCAAAACAAGTGTTACTTTTGGATTACTTCATGACTACTTCAGTACTATGTAGTTGTTAAGGTCTGAATACTCAGACACTAGAGTAATATCAACAGGAGAGGCCAGAGTGATAGCACAGTCAGTAAGATACTTGCCTTAAAGAGGATAGCTGGGTTTGATTACCAGCACACCCCAGGGTGACCTGAGTACCACTGGAAGTGATCTCTGAGCACAGAGACAGCAGTAAGTCCTGAGCACTGCTAGGTATGGCCCCAAACCAAAAAATCATGAAAATAAAATCAAGCAGGAAGGAGACTGAGAAAAAAAGGGAGACAGAAGAGGAAAAGGAAAGCATGCTAAATTCCATGAAAATGGAGGGCCTGTCACCTGCTACCAGTTCCTCCCTGTGGAGAAATCCTCATGAGGCGCTTCGGAGCACCCAGGGTCCAGCCCAGGTGGTGGCTTCCAGGTTCCCAGCACTGGTCTTGCAGGCCTCTTGTGAAGTTTTGGTTCTCAGGAGACTGTGTGTGAATGGGCCCCACAGCACAGAGGCACAACTCTAGGAGAGACACATGGAGGTGTGCAATGAGAGAAAAAAAGGGAAAATGACAAGGATAAATCTTTTATTTATTTTTTTATGTTCAATATTTATATATTTTTTTAAATTTTTATTAGTGAAACACCATGAGGTACAGTTGTAGATTTACAAATTTTTGTGCTTGGGTTTCAATTGTACAATGATTAAACACCCATCCCTCCACCAGTGCCCATTTCCACCAACACGGGTCCCAGTATCCCTCCCACTCCCCATCCCCCCATCCCACCCTGCCTCTGTGGCAGGGTATTCCCTTTTGTTCTCTCTCTCCTTTTGGGTGTTGTGGTTTGCAAAAGAGGCATTGAGTGGCAATCATGTTTGGTCTGTAGTCTACTTTCAGCATGCTTCTCCCATCCTGGGAGAATCCTTCCAACACACTTTATTTGGTGCTCCTTTCTCTATCTGAGCTCCCTTTTCCCCTAGAATGTGTGGCTGGCCTCCAAGCCATGGAGCAAAACTCCTGGTACTAATCTCGACCACTCTTGGGTGTTAGTCTCCTATTTTGTTACTTTATGTTCCCCAGATGAATGCAATCTTTCTATGTCTATCCCTCTCTTTCTGACTCATTTCACTTAACATGATGCTTTCCATGTAGTACCACTTGTATGTAAATTTCATGACTTCATCTTTTCTAATAGCTACATAGTACTCCATTGTGTAGATGTACCAAAATTTCTTTAACCAGTCATCTGTTCTCAGGCACTCAGGTTTTTTCCAGATTCTGGCTATTGTAAAGAGTGCTGCAATGAACAAACAAGTGCAGATGTCACTTCGACCATACTTTTTTGCCTCTTTGAGATATATTTCCAGGAGTGGTATTGCTGGGTCAAATAGGAGCTCTATTTATAATTTTTTGAGAATCATCCATACTGTTTTCCAGAAGGGCTGAACCAGTCGGCATTCCCACCAGCAGTGAAGGAGGGTCCCTTTCTCGCCACATCTGTGCCAGCACTGGTTGCTTTTGTTTTTTTGGATGTGGGCCAGTCTGAGGTGGTGTGAAATGATATCTCATTGTTGTTTTGATCTGCATCTCCTCGATGATTAATGATGTAGAGCATTTTCTCATGTGCCTTTTAGTCATTCGGATTTCTTCTTTGAGAAAGTTTCTGTTCATTTTGTCGCCCCATTTTTTATGGGGTTTGATGTTTTCTTCTTGTGGAGTTCAACCAGTACTTTGTATATCCTTGATATCAACCCCTTGTCGGATGTGTATTTGGCAAATATCCTTTCCCATTCTATAGACTGTCCTTGTATTTTGGTCACTGTTTCTTTTGAGGTGCAGAAGCGTCTTAGTTTAAGATAGTCCCATTTATCTATCTCTGTTTTCACTTGCTTGGCCAGTGGCATGACATCCTTGAAAATAGCATTAGCTTCAATATCATGGAGGGTTTTGCCAACTTTGTCTTCAATGTACCTTATGGATTCCAGTCTGATGTGGAGGTCTTTAATCCATTTTGATCTTACTTTTGTACATGGCGTCAGGCAGAGATCTGAGCCCACTTTTTTTGCATGTAGCCGTCCAGTTTTGCCAGCACAATTTGTTAAAGAGGCTTTCCTTGCTCCACTTCACTTTTCTTGCCCCCTTATTGAAGATTAGATGATCATATGCTTGAGGGGAGATGTCAAGAATATATTCAACCCTGTTCCATTGGTCTACAGCTCTGCCTTTGTTCCAGTACCATGCTATATTAATACTGCTTCGTAGTAGAGTTTGAAGTTAGGGAGGCTGATTCCTCCCATTTTCTTTTTCCCAAGGATTGCTCTAGCTATTCGTGGTGGCTTATTTTTCCATATAAATTTCAGGAGTATTTGCTCTGTTTCTTTGAAGAATGTCATGGGTATCATAATAGGGATCACATTGAATTTGTACAGTGCTTTGGGAAGTATTGCCATTTTGACAATGTTAATTCTCCTGATCCATGAACAGGGGATATTTTTCCATTTCCTTGTGTCCTCTTTTATTTCCTGAAGTAGTGTTTTGTAATTTTCTTTGTACAGGTCCTTTACTTTCTTAGTTAAGTTGATTCCTAGATACTTGATTTTCTGGGGCATAATTGTGAACAGGATTGTTTTCTTCATGTCACTTTCTTCTCTATCACTATTTGCGTATAGGAAAGCCATGGACTTTTGGGTATTGATTTTATAGCCTGCAACTTTGCTATAAAAGTCTATTGTTTCTAGGAGTTTCTTGGTAGAGGTTTTAGGGTTCTCTAAGTATAGTATCAAATCATCTGCGAATAGTGAGAGTTTGATTTCTTCCTTTCCTACCTGGATGCCCTTAATATCTTTTTCTTACCTAATTGCTATTGCAAGTACTTCCAGTACTATATTGAACAGTAGTGGAGAGAGTGGGCATCCTTGTCTCCTTCCTGATCTTAGGGGGAAGGCTCTCAGTTTTTCCCCACTGTGGATGATGCTTGCTGTAGGCTTGTGGTAGATAGCTTTAACTATATTGAGGAAAGTCCCCTCTATCCCCATTTGGACAAATCTTTTAATCAGCAGTTATAGATGTTGATTAGCACCCAACTGAGGCTGAATTTCTTTCTATCCTACAGAACGCTCTGGCAGAGCAAAATCCAGTTTCTATACTTTCTCCCTTTCTCCCTGGTTCCTTCAGCAACTACAAAATGACAAAGGGGCGAGAGAGAGAGAGAGAGAGAGAGAGAGAGAGAGAGAGAGAGAGCGCACTAACCTTGGTGCAGCCCATCTTTCGAGCTAAATTTTTTGTTGCTCCTTGCTGACGTCAAGGCCTCTGCACCCCTGAGCTCCTGGCCATCCCCCAGCAGGGCCTCTCCAAGGAGGGCGGGGCAGTCGCCCTTCCTGCAGCCTGTCTCCTAGAGGGCCTAACCTCAGATCCTGATCCCTGCCTTAGGAACTAGGTTTCATGCTGTCAGGCTCTGTTCCTGGTCGTTGGAGGAACCCACAGCTGGCATTTGGAGTATTCAGAACCGCTGTGGCAACTCAAAGCAGGCTTCATTCTCACATCACCCACCCTGCCTTTTCACTGATTCATTCTTTCGCTGGTGCTGGCGGGGGCTGGGGCGCTTCCCCAGGTCTGGGTTTGCACGCTGTGGGCAGAGGGACTGGGAGTCGCCGTGATGGGGGCCTGGGCCAGCGCTGGGTCCCTCAGCCAGGTTACCAGACCCGGGCGGGAAGAGGTCGAGACCTGCAGGAGCAGCAGCACCACGCCCCCGCCCCGTCCCCGCCGCTGCAGACCGGTGCGCGCAAGCGGTACACCACCTTTCCCCCGGCGCGACGCGTCGCCCTGGCAACCGCAGGTCTCGCGAGACGGGCCTGGCGCATGCGCAGAGCCGCTCTCTCCGCTTCCGGTTTCCCGCCGCCCGCCTGGCGGGTTGAAGTTTATCCGCGGCCGGGCGCGGGGCTCCGGGGAGCTGACGGCGTGCGCGGGGCAGCGCGGGACGCGTGAGTAGGCGGGGCGGGGCGGAGCGGGGTCGGGGTGTGGGGTGTCGGGGCTGGGTCTGGTGCGGGGTCGGGGAGTCGGGACTGGGTTCTGGTAGGGTGTCGGAGCTGGGGCTTGGGGTGTCTACAGGTCGGGGGTGGGTCCTGGTCAGGGTCGGGGGGTCGGGGCCGGGCTTGGGTGGGGTCGGGGCTGGGTCCTGGTAGGGGGTTTTGGGGGGAGGGAATCGGGGTTGGGATCTGGTGGGGGATCGGGGGTCCGGGCTGGGATCTGGTGGGGAGTTGGGGAATTGGGGCTGGGCCCCGGTCGGGGGGTCAGGGAGTCGGGGGGTCAGGGAGTCGGGGCTGGGCTCTGGTAGGGGAATTGAGGCTGGGGTGGGGGTCGGTACTGGGCCGGGAGTCGGGGCTGGGCCGTTGGGATGGGGAGGCGGGGTTGGGTCCTGTTAGGAGGTTGGGGGCGGTTGAGGCTGGGACTGGGCTCTGGTAAGGCGATTGAGCCTGGGCTTCGGTAGGGGGGTTGAGGCTGGGATGGGGAGGCGGGGATGGACTACGAGAGCTGGAGGGCCGGGCTGGGCCCCTGTTGCATCCCCTCCTTGCGGTGGTGGGGCATGCGCTGGCTTGCAGGGGTCGTGATGCCTAGCCCAGCCCCCTTGCATGTGCCGCAGTCTGTGACTTGGGGCGACCCCCAATCAATCCCCTTCAGTTTGCCTAAATAGTAACGTCCGAGTGCCCCACAGATGAGGCTCAAAGAGGACAGGGTGAGCCCCGGGTGGGGCGTTTCGCTCACCTCGGTGTGTCGGGGGCTGTCTATGCCCAAAGTCTTGGATCAGCCCCTTATCCCCCCCTCTGTCCTCCCTGGTGACCTCCACCAAGGGGAGCGTTTTCTTTGTTAGCCCCCTTAGTGCCCTGTCGCCCTCCCCACATATTTCTGTCCATCCCCTCTGCAGAGACTGAAGCATCACTGACTGGGCCCCCTGCGTGTTCCCTCAGTTGCCTTCCTTAGTGCTGCACTTTATACCGATTTTCCAATCATGTATCTGCTTTCAGCCCAGTGGTGCTGCAAGGCCTCTGCCAGGGAGCTTGTTGGTCTCACCCAAGACCTTGAACTTGACCCCTTACCTTTATGAAGTGTGGCTCCCTGGGTGCTTGCTCTTTCCTCCTTGGCTCACCTTCATCAAATGTAATTTCCACTCACTTCTTCCTGGAGGCCCACCCTGATGCACTCTTCTCAGGAAGACGGGTGGGGGGGAGGCTTCCTGACGCTGTGATTCTCGTGTCAGTGACTTTCTCAGCCAGGGGCTGTGTTTTACATGTGACTTTGTGGTCTTGGGAGTTGTGGGTATTCCACAAACTTTTTTTTGGTCTGCACATGTGTGAATGTATGTGTGTGCGTGCGCCACACCCAGCTATGCTCAGGATTTATTCCTGGCTTCACTTAAGCATCACTCGTAGCTGTGTTTGCTGGCCACTCGGTGGTGACAGAGGTCCAACTGGGCTTGGCCGCCAGAACAGCCTGGGCAACACGACTGTGCTACCTTTCGGGCCCCTCATCTCAGATGTTTCTAAGCACCGCGTGTTGTTTTGGAGGTACTGCCAGGATGGGAAGAGCAGATGGTTGGAAAACCACCAGCGCTTTGGTGTCTAACCCAAGTCTTTGCCCCTTTCACGCAGTTCGCACTTTGGTGCTTGCTGAGACGCGACTGACTCCTGGACCAAACGCCTGGCACGCAGACGTGTGCTGGTGGGTGCCAGCGGTGAGTGTGAGTGGATGGCCTTTCGGGGAGGGCAGGCAGGCTGGGGGAAAGGGAGTGGAATTGGGGGGGGAGTGTGCCTGACTGGTCTCCCGAAATCCGGATGCACCAGACTTGCCCCCATCGGTGTGGGAGCTGCGTCTGGTTTTGCCCCCTGGCCCCTGAGTCTTAGAATGTGAGCGGAGTGGGGAGGCAGGTAGGTGGGCATCCCTGAGACACCCCCCCCCCCCCACTCCACGGACAAGTACCTTTCGGCCCCACTGCAGCTGCCCCTGATCTATCACCAGATGCATCCACTTGCATACAGGCGGGAGCACACCCGGGTCTCCAGGCCTGGGGGAGGGTGGATGGTTGGGCTCAGGAGGAGTGGACAGCACCGGGCACACAGTATCAGTAACCCTGCGGTTCTTTCACTCCATCCCTCGCACTATCGGGGTCATCCATATGGCTCAGGGCGTCCACTTGCCTGTGTGTCAGGCTCTGAGCTTGCGGTTCTGATGGAGGCAGGTTTCCAGGGCCACCACAGACCTGCTCCCAGAACTTTGCCTGTAAGGGGGCGGGCGTGTGGAAGCGGGGTGGAAATCCCAGCAGGTCCTCAAGAGGACCAGGAGTTAGCAGCAATCAGAGGGAGGCGACAACTATGCTCCGTGGCTAAATGCCTGATCCCACCCACCGTGGCCCTGTAAAATCTCCACTGTTGCTTGAATGGCCCTGCCCCCGCCCTCCCGAGCTGTGGGCAGAGCGAGGTCTGCTCCCCAGCAGGGCTCAGTGACCCCGAACCCCGCCTTCCCCATCTCCATAGGCTCTGCAGCATGGCCGCGGCGCCACAGGCCCCTGCCCGGGGCTCCGTGCGGAAGTCGAGGCCTGTGATGGTGAAGACGTCGCTGAACAACCCCTATGTGATGTGCTGGGGCACCCTGGAGCGGGAGGACGCACAATTCATCCTCCAGAGCCTGGAGGACCGGCTGCGGACCCTGGGCCTGCGCAAGGTAGAGGATAAGCGGAGGAAGAGGAAGCAGCCTGGCGCTGCCAGACCCGGCCCGGAGCCCAGTGGCCCAGAAGAGGTGGCCTCAGGGTGGACCCCGGCCCACGTGCGGAAGCAGCTGGCCTTAGGCATCAATGAGGTGACGCGGGCACTGGAGCGGGCCGAGCTGCGGTTGGCACTGGTGTGCAGGTCGGCGCAGCCCGCGCGCATCACCGCGCACCTCATCCAGCTGAGTGCCAGCCGGGCTGTCCCTGCTGGCCAGGTCCCCCGGCTCAGCCAGCGGCTTGCCCCCGTCCTCAGCCTCAAGTGTGTCCTCGCCCTGGGCTTCAGGACGCACAGCCCCGACTTCGAGGAGCAGGTGAAGGCCATCACCCCCAGGCTGCCCCCTGTGACCGTCCCCTGGCTTCCCGGCACACTGGAGGGTGACCAGGAAAACGTGGACATGGCGTCTTCAGAGAGCAAGGACAAAGAGGGTGGGGACAGGGCCCAGGAGGACGCCTTGGGACCCAAGCGAAAGCTCCCAGAAGGCCCGCAGGCCATAGTGCTGCAGCCCCTCCGGATCAAGAAGGTCATCCCCAACCCCAACAAGATCAGGAAGCCCCCCAAAAGTAAGAAAACCACTTCCAAGTAAACATGTGCGGACTGCCCTGTCTCCCTGCTGTCTCATGGCAGGAAAAGCACAAGCAGCCCCAGACGAATGGAAGGAGCCGCCTGCCCCGGTCTGAGCCTTGTTTGGTACTGGCAGGGGCAGGCCCCCTGGAGCTGAGCGGCGTGCAGATAGGATGGTGCTCAAGCGCCTCGTGCAGAAGTCGGAGTTAAAGGCAAAACCAGTTCCCTGGCTGAAGCGTGTGTGTGTGTGTGTGTGTGTGTGTGTGTGTGTGTGTGTGTGTGTGTGTGTGTGTGTCCTGGGGGTTGGGAGTGGGGGGCCTGCTGCCTAACTAGTGCTACAGATTTTGTTCAAGTCGGTGATCTGCTTCAGTTCTGGAGTCAGTGTGCTACCATGCATCAGTAACTTTTAAAATTAAAGAAGTAAGAAGCATAGGAATCTTGTGAGAACTGGCATCCTGTGAACACTGGGTACCAATTCTTCGGAAACCGCAAACTGTGGTTGCCTTTCAAGGTGAGCTGGTGCCCTGTTCCACACAGCTATTTGAGAACCTACTTTTTAAAGACTGTGCCATTGAGAAGCTGGAATCTAATTCCCAGCCACCCTCCACTCCACATGGGGTTAGAGTCTAGCTTACTGCTGGCCTGTCTGGGAAATGCTTGCTAGCATCTGCCCTTGGGCTTCTCCATGGGACCTCCTGGGCCAACCTCGGGTCTCCTGTGCCCTCTAGTGGCAGCTCCGGGTGGTAGCCAGCAGCCAGATGGCACACAGGGATGATCCAATCCTAGGTGCCTTCCCGAAACTCAGCTTTCCTCCCTTTGTGGAGTGGAAGGAGCCACTGGCAATCAGAAATGAATGGATACGGTTATGCCTCAATAAAACTTTATTTGTTGACTCTGAAACTGAGCTGCGAACAATTTTTTTTCCACGTCACAAAACGTTTTCTGTTGAATCCACCACCACCACATGAACATGTAAAAATCATCCTTAGCTCATGGGCTATACAAAAAACAGGAGATGTGCTGGCTTTACCTCTTGGGCCATTGGTTTATTCCTGCCGAGTATGAGACAGGACTAGTGTCCGTTGGCTACTTCCAACGTGAAGGACAGGTCATCAGATTTTCTAAAATAATTTTCTGGACGTTCCTGGCCTAAGCAACTGAGGCACTGGTCCAGGAAAGGCAGAAGCGTCGACTGTGGACTGAAGTTCAGGCCACATTCTGTGGCCACGCTTACAGACTCCTGACCACGGGCAGCTTGTATATACATGTACATACAGACTAGGCCTTCGTATTCCCGGTAAAAACACTCAGTAACAAAACTATGAATACTATTTACAAATAAGGTATTTGCCATTACTGTGACAGTTTTCACAATAAATTAAAGTCAGCGTAAAGGAAAGTGTGCAATTCTGCATAATAAAAACATTCAAACTCTGCAGGTCCTGGCAATTCAAGGGTTGGTTTCCCTGGGCCTTCCCTTGGCTGGGAGAGATTTGCTTTTTCTCACATCTCCTGGCTGTGGCCGAGAAGCAAGTGAAGTTCGGAGGGAGTTCGGGGGCTCTGAGCTTCCTGAGCACACAGCACTGGACTGGGGCTTTGCCTCCAAACTGGCCCATCGATCTACTGGAAGAACAAAACACAGATTTTTGTGTTTGCTGATCTGGCAGCTTTGCTGTGCAAGACATCCAGGTGCAAGTGTCCTGTGCGAGAGTTTCTGGCTGGCCACTGGACACCCACGCTGGTCACTAAGTACAAGTGCAGCCTCCACCGTGTTCCTGAGGGTGACTGGTATGAAGGTTCCACCCAGCCCCATGGCTCAGCTGTTTATCTGCACATCCTAGCAGAGACCTTATATGGGTCCTGCTACTTCCTCTTTGGTGCAGAGTGAGCCTTCAGCTCCCAGAGGACAGTCCACGGTTTGATGGCGATGAGAGGAATGTGTGCTTTGATCCCTGCAGCCCTCCTACAAATGCGTCAAGGGTGGAAAGGCTGAGCGCAGGCAAGCCTCCGGTGACTGCGGGGACGTCCTTGGTGACTCCCGGCCACGGGGATTCCAAACAAGTTGTGCTTCTGCTCTTTGGCAGTCCAGGTGTCGCCATGGAGAGTGATGATGCCAGAGTTCCATCCAGGTAGAGCTGACTACTGTAACACAAGTCCGACCTAAGGGGATGGGGAGAAACGAAGAGTTGTAATGGGGCCCAGGGGAGCTGCCAATCCTGGCTGGGCCTGCTGTGGGACTCAGGGAAGCGCAGGGAGTTTACTAGGGGTATGTCAAGATGCTCACTTGCCTTTCCCGACTCAGTTCCTGGACACCCCCAGTTGTACAAGTCATACTGTAAACTGCCATCTCCAATACCAAACTTCAGTTTCTCCAAGAAAGTCTTATCTTCCATCAAGTCTAGCGTGCTGAACACATCAACTCCTTTCTGTCAAAATATAAGAAAGGATCAAAACTTTAAGATGCCACCAGAGGGGCTAAAGTGACAGTACAGCGAGGGGTGCTTACATTACACTCGACTGCCCTGGATTTGACCCCAGCCCTCTCATCTGGTCCCCTGAGCCCCCCCCCCCCCCTGCCTTAGGAGTTATTCCTGAACACCACCAGGTGTGGCCCCCAAACAAAGTCCAAAGACAACAAAAGAACATCAGTGGAGCACAGTGCTTTCTCGGATGGATCTCAGCAGACACATCCCTTCCCCGACAAGGGGCCTGAATGCCTTTGTAATCAGGTTCAAATGCTGTGACAGACATCAGAGGCTCAAAACTCAGTCGAGGATAGCAGATGATGGGAGTGGGACCAATAGAGTAAAATTATCCAGCACGTGGATAAAACACTACTCTGGTGGCTGACACGGACATAAATTCATAGAAAACCTCCCAAAAGCCCCCAGTGCCTACTACAGAACAGGTTGGCATGGACCTGACTCCCTAGAGCCACAGCCATGCGCTATGACCTGAGAAATGAAGGGAGGGACTTTGGGATTTGATAGAATTTCTTAGATGCCAATCTTTTGCTTTATGCATAGGGAGATGAGGTGCCTACTTTTCTATTTATGGGGGATTTGGAGTCTTAAATAACACTGGGGGAAGGAGTGCAGAACGAACAGCAGGATCAAAGAATTTGGGTTGTTTGATTTTGGGGGCTTAGAGAGTTTTGTGCTTTGGGGGACACAGGAGCTTCTGGGGGGTTGCCCCCCTCAGTGGCTCGGGCTGACGCCTCCCCATTCCCACATGCAAAGCCTGCACGCCAGCCCTCCAAGCATTCTGTCCTGTCCCTACAGTTTCCATGGCTTCAGCCAACTGTATTTATTAGACAAATGCAAGAAAGGCACTTTTAATGTCTCGCTCCCAATTTCTCATAAACAAGATTTTTCTTTCTCAGTTTTGCATTATATGAAAATGCTTCAGTCAGTCGACTTCAATTCCTTTGTAAAACACTTATTTGCAGCAAGAATTCAGCAATTATCCTAGTTTAGAAAATTAAAAAAAAAACCCTATAGTTAGGCACATTTTAAAATTCCTTTATATTTAAATTCCTTTAAGCTTTAACAGTTTCCTTGTAGCTGACAAAAATCTTTCATTTAAAAAATTCAGACTAGGGGCTGGAGCGATAGCACAGTGGTTGGGCGTTAGCCTTGCACAGGGTCGACCCAGGTTCAATCCTCGGCATCCTATATGGTCCCCCAAGCACCGCCAGCAGTAATGCCTGAGTGCAGAGCCAGGAGTATCCCCTGAGCATCGCCGGGTGTGGCCCAAAAAGCAAAAAAGAGAAAAAAAAATTCAGACTAAATAAAATGTGCAACTGCTGTTTTTTCTCTACATTATAAACTCTTTTGCATTTCCCTTATATCACAGAACTCATTCATTTTTCTCTTCCCGGTCTTCTTGTAGGAGGATTTAAAGTTCTAAATGGTCTTTCTGGCTAAGTGCCACAGTACAAGCATCACAGGCACGGATGTGAATGTAACTGTCCACAACCTTCCTGTGCGGGAAGGACAGCAGTGAGAGCTGTCTTCAAGGACACAGCTGGGGGAGACGCGGGTGGAGGGGAGGTGAGCCAAGAGATGGAGTGCAGGGCTGATGCACCGACTTGGCAATGCTGAGTGTGTGGCTCACGAAGGCCAGCAGGGACGTCTCCGTGTGGATGATGAAGGAACAGGCCACCTGGAGGCTCCTGGGGGCCAGGTGGCGCAGGACCGTCATCAAGGGGAGCATGTAGAAGCTCAGGAAGTCTGTCAATTTGCCACTGGTGCTCTAGAGGGCAGAGGCGAAGTCGGTTCAAGCCTGCAATGAGCCGCTATGCTGCTCTGACTGAGAGCCCTTGATCTAAGCGCCGGGGAGAAGGCAACAGGATTGAGCTGGCAACCCACACGCTGCATTGTTCTGGTGCCAGAACTAGGCTGGGGGTCGCATCTCGGGGTTGCCCATCCATGCTTGGGGGAGGTAGGAGCAGTCCTGAGGCCCGGGCAGGAAAGGGAATCCTTGTGACTCGGGTGCCTGGCCCGCTGTTTAGAAGGCAAGGACCCGGCCGACAGGATCCTCCACATGAGTCAGCCGACAGTGTTTCCCCACCGCGGGTGGTGAGGCGGCTGCATGGGAGGCTTTGCTGTTCTGTCATGACACCCTCAATATTTGGAGGCTCTCCGCCGTTCAGTGAACCTCTATTCCTCAAAGGATCAATAATCAGTCTCCAATTCTGCAAACTCACAGGAGCGGAGGCTATGTCCAAAGATGCGGCCAGCAAATGGGCTTAAGCAGAATGTGAAGGGATCCAACGTGATCTCAGATGGGAAGAGCCACAGTCAACACGCCCCCCTTCTCCATAGCGTCTTGGGCCCCCACCATGCCCGTCAAAAGCATGTCCCGAGAAATGGGCAGCAGAAGCATGAGTGGAGCCCCCAGTCCCCCACTACATCAGACGTGGAAGAGATTTGCAAACACATGAAAACTTGGATCACTGTCCCTGTCACTAACCACGTTATATTGGGAAAGAGCAAGTTTTCCAAAGGAATCTGCAATGGAATGAGCATGGGATGGGCCTTTATTTTGTTACTAAATAGAAAAAAGTAAAGTAAAGTAAAGGCCCTCCCGTTGATCATCAATTTGCTCGAGCGGGCCCAGTAACGTCTCCATTGGAGACTTTGTTGTTACTGTGTCTGGCATATCGAATACTCTCGGTAGCTTGCCGGGCTCTCCGAGAGGGGCGGAGGAATCGAACTCGGGTCGGCCATGTTGGCTGCATGCAAGGCAAATGCCCTACTGTTGTGCTATCGCTTTATTTTAATTTTGAATACAGTAAATATCTATACAGTTAAGCCACAAAAATAAAAATGCTTGGGAGTGGCCAAGAGTTCTTTTAAAAAAATGGAGGGGGGAGGAGATGGAGCGATAGCATAGTGGGGAAGGTACGTGCTTTGCATATGGCCAACCCGGGTTCGATCCCTGAAACCCTATATGGTCCCCTGAGCACAGCCAGGAGTTATTCCTGAGTACAGAGCCTGGAGGAACCCCTGAACATCACCCCCAAAAAGCAAAAAAAAATTTAATTTAAAATGGGGCGGGGGGCTCCCAAGAGGTGCTCAAGGGTCCGAGCACCCATCCTTGCCAGCCGGACTAGTGGTTTAATCCAAGGGCCTGAGGATGCGGTGCTGGTGGTACAAAGAGAGCCAAGGTGTGGGTGGCTGGACTGGGCCCGGCAATCACCCTAACCACTGTACTACCTCCTGGCCCTCCAGCAGTTCTTAAAAGAGTGAAGAGTAAAGGAGTCCAAAGACCCCAGATCCCCAAAGCTGAGGCCCACAGGGGCACACGTACACAGACTGCCCACGCCATCGAGAACTGTCTAATGATGGAGACAGCTCAGCTGAGCCACAGGAACACTTGAGACTTCTGGCCGCCCTAAATGACCATACCAAGCTGCCTAAAGGCCTCCTTGCCCTAATCATTTCTCAGTCCAACCACAACCACGTGTAAGGGAAATGGGCTCTGAGCCCCACATCCCAAGCTTGGACACAGAGAAGATGTTGAATCCTTCCAACCAACAAGCAGAGCACCAGAGCAGGCCATCGCGACTGAGGCCGGTACTGCCCGCAACCCGAAACGCCCAGGCCAGGGCTGCCCCAGGGTGCCCTCGACGTGGCAGCAGGACACGGCAGCAGCCACTGCCAGATGTCAGGAAGAACTGGAAAACCGAGTGTCTTCAGAGCCCGGGAAATGGAGACAGCGACTCTGATCTGGTGAGCCACCAACCTGAAGTGAGGGTGAATCCCGGTGCTGGCTCGGGTGGGGGCCCAACCCACCGGGAAGTCTCCCCATGGGCTCTCCGGGCCGTCCTATTGTATAAAGGGGACCGGACTCGCCCAGGAATCCACCATTCTGCGGCGTCAACGATGTTTTATCGTAAGCACGGGGATGGGAAACAAAACACAAGCTCCCCCGAAGTTAGGGGCCCTTGGGAGGGGCTGGGGGCTTCCGGGGTGCACCCTTGGAGAACTGTTCTCTCAGGTATCCGATGCCCGGGTGCTGAGAAGGCCCCGAATTCTACCCAGACCCCCGAGCTCCTTTTCTGCGCGAGAAGCTTCTGCTGCCACAGAGTCCAAACCCCATGAATCCTCCTGACTTACAGCTGGAAGCCTGCAAGGCTTCAGCGCTCTCTGCAAAGTCGTATTTCTGCTCACGTGGGAAAATCGCACTTCCACCAGTTCCCTGGGGTTCAGGGAGTGGTGCCAGCATCTGAAATAGAACAAAGGATTTTAAAATCTGGTGGGCTTTGACCCCTGCCCATTTCCACACCGTGACCCGGCTCTGGGGTTAATGGTGGCGATACTGGGACGGTGGGGTGGCGCCACGCCTGGCCACGTTCTGTGGCCACATCTGTGTGGGTGTCACCAGCCCTGACCTCCGGCGTCTGACCTGCATTCCTAGTTTCGGGTCCTATGTAGCTTGTGGCCTGTTGTGCCCTGATCCATCAAAAGGAATCTGAAGACGGCCCAAGAAAGGTCCCTAATGCCCACTCGGCATGACCTTGACCCTGGCTAACCCTGTAGAAGGCAGGCCACAGAGTTGAAAAACATTAACACCCATGACCCCCTGGCTCGACCCTCAAAGACACCGAATCCGGGAGGGCCCTGAGCAGAGCTAGTGGTAGTGGGCGTGACCACACTCAGCAACAGATCAGACCCTGGCCTTCCCAAAGGGAAACGCTGACCAGGATCCTTAGGAAAGGTGAAACCCAACCCACCCCTTTTTAAAAAAATAAATCACCAAGTGGCTGGAGGCTGGAGGGCAAACAGGTACCTTCTGGGGGGTTCTCGTTTCCGTTTCTGCAGCCCATGCCCCATGCCGCGCCAGTATGGCCCGTGGTCCCTCTCAGACCCCACGAGAGGCCTGGGCGGACAGTTCCGGCCGTGCACCTGGGAAGGGGCTGCCCTCACCTGAGTGTGGCCATGGGCTTCGGGAGAACCACTCCAGCGGCACAGATGGCCTGAAGGATCCCTTCCAGCTTCCCTCCTCTGGTGATTTCTCGAATCCTGACTGGGATGACCCATCTGCGTGTCAGTTTCTGACGAGCGCAGAGGAAGTTGCTCTCCACCACCCTCTTCACACTGAGGTGAGAAGAACGTCGCCCGAGAGCCAGCAGGGGACGAGGACCCAGAAAAATCCCACAGTGGTACCCCCTACCGCTGGCAAAGGTCACGAAACAGATGCTGGGCCTGCCAGGGTTACCAGTCAGATCACATCTGAGCAGGAGCCATCAGGGGTCCACACGGGCACCAACACGTTTCAGAGGCCCTCCTGGAGCCAGAGTGGTCATGCAGAAAGCAGGGCACTGGTAGTGCCTGCGGCTGACCCAGGTTTGATCCCCAGCATCCCTGAGCACCGTGAGGAGTGAGCCCTGAGTGCAGAGCCAGGAATAAGCCCAAAGCATTGCCGGGTGTGATCCCGAAACACAAAAAATTGAAACAACTGAGAGCAGAGGGTTAGACAGAGCGTGCAGGGGTGAGGCCCTGACCCAGCGCCATTCCCGCACACCTGGGGTCACTCCTGAGCACAGAGCCAGGAACAGCCCCTGCACACTGCCCGGTGTGACCCAGAAAACAACACAAACCCCAAACCAAGGACGATGACAAAAAAATACAGAGCAGAAAGTCACGTTCTCAGGTCGGGGTGGGGGAATCATGCAGCCGGAGCACCTTTTGCATGGGGAGCCCCGGGTCTGGTGGTGAGCGCCCAAGGGTCCCCCGAGCACTGCCGGAAGTGACCAGTGCTCCACAGAAGCCCCCAACACCCCGGGCTGCACCTGAAGCACCCCTGATGCACAGACGCCTTCACTGGCAACAACCTGGTCAGCGGGGCCACTTCTCCGAGGCTGTCAGGGGGGCGAACCTGCCACAGGTGCCAACGTGGGCCAGGTGGGCACCCATGAAGCCCACCAGCTTTTTGCTGGAAGTCATGCAACCCCCACAGGGCCCCTGGAGGGGTCAGCTGGGAAGGCGCGGAGCCCCACAGTGGACACGCGGGCAGTGAGCGTGTGTTCCCTCCCTCCCCCCACCCAACGGGCGCCCCCCTCACCCTGCCCGCGGGCCAGGCTCACCTGAGCAGGAACTGGGGCGAGCAGTCAAAGCGAATCGGGCAATCCTCGGCCGCCGCGTGTTTCCCGCTGAGCAGTCTGTACAGCGCCCTGAGCTGCGGGAGCAGAAGGCCCGTGAATGGCGCTCGGGGCCCACCCAGAGCCCGCACAGGCCGGCAGCGAGGGGTACGGGGACCCACTCACCATGTTGGCGTCTCCCAGATCCGGGGTGTCCGTGAGCCCCTGCGGCAAGGAGGGCCCCTGGCGCACGCTGTCCCTGTCAGCCTCGATGGTCCCACGGCAGGCGATGAGCTCACCTGGGGGCCGGGATGGAGAGTTTTCAGTCATGTGCCAGGGTGGGACCCGGGATGAGAATGGCATCTAATCAGAGGTGCCCGGGGGCCAGGCGGGAGCGGGCATGGGGACTGACCTGGGGCTGGACACAGAGTATGCATGTTGGAGGCCCTGGAGGGACCCAGCTGGGCACGCATGGCCCCCAGCATCACCTGGTGTGTGTATGTGTGTATGTGTGTGTGTGTGTGTGTGTGAGAGAGAGAGAGAGAGAGAGAGAGAGAGATGTTTGGGCACCCAGTGACCAAGTCTACACCCTACTGCAGGCATCACCCAGGTTCCTAGGATAGCCCGGCAGGTACTTTCTAAACTGCCTTTTCCTAACAGGGGGTTGGGGGCAGTGACCTTTGACCCCTCACCCCTTCCTGAGGAATCCCCACCATCTGGCCGCATGCCAAGGCTCTGAGGTTCCCTGCGAGTCCTCCACAGCCCTGGGGTTGTGGCGATACTCCCTGACCCTGAGTGACCTGTCCATGCCCTCCCCCCTCCCCCTCCCCAACACGCATGACAGTGTTATGGAAAGGGGGGACCCCAAGAGCATTCGGGGGAAGAACTGCAAGGAGGTCTCTTCCTAAAGAGGGGCGGGGCTTCTTGCTCCCCAGTAGTGATCTCTATGAGCCCCCAATATAGACACACTTGCTTCTGCTCCCCCAATGTTGACCTCAGACACAGACACAGACACACACACACACACACACACACATACACGCTCCTGCTGCCCCAATGTTGACCTCAGACCCCCCCCCACACACATATCTACAGCTCCTGCTGCCCCAATGTTGACTTCAGACAGACAGACAGACACACACACACACACACACACACACACACACACACACACTCCTGCTGCCCCGATGTTGATCTCAGACACAGACACAGACACACACAGACACAGACACACACACTCCTGCTTCCTCAATGTTGACCTCAGACACAGACACACACATACAAACACTCTTCCCAAATATTGACTATACAAACTCACACACACATACACACATACACACACACGCTCCTGCTTTCCCAATGTTGACCTCAGACACAGACACAGACATAAACACATACACACACACACATACACACACACACTCCTGCTTCTCCAATACTGACCACACATACACACACTCCTGCTCCCCCAATGTTGACCTCAGACACACAAACACACATTCCTGCTTCCCCAATGTTGAGCTCAGACACAACACATACACCCATACAAACACACATACATAGCTCCTGCTCCCCCAATGTTGACCTCAGACACACACACACACACACACACACACACACACACACACACACATACAGCTCCTGCTTCCCCAATGTTGGGCTCAGACAGACAGACAGACAGACACACACACACATACACATGCTCCTTCTTCCTCAATATTGACCACACACACACACACACACACACACACACACACACACAGAGTCCGCAGAGCAACTCTGCAATGAGCCCAACCCCTTCAGCATCAATACAGCCCACCAGTCGGCTCAGCCTTTCAGGTCCTGCCACAGCCCTGGGCAGCCTCCTCTCGCCCGCACAGGCCTGAGGTGGGAAGGGAGCAGCCTGCTCACTTCTTCCTTCTCTGCCACACTCGGAAGCTCACACATTTCCCGCTGATGGGAATGCTGTGTCAAACTGACACCTAGGAGGCCCAGATAACAGTGGGCCCCTGATTTACAGGGGATAAGGCCGATAATCTTGGTCTTATGCAATCTGAATGGGCAATTAATTCTTTATATTAAACAGATTCTCTGGAAACAGCGATCAAGAAAATGGAAATCATTATGAGATAATCTCTCTTCATACAAATGTAAGATAAATGCACAGGTTTAGTCAGTAATGCAGTTTAAAATAATTTGTTTTGGCATGATGGTATTTATAACATCTTTTTTTTTTTTTTTGCTCATCACAAAAGAGGAACAACTTGATGTTTATGGAAAGACACTTACACTACCAACAACCGACTTCAGTGACAATTTAGAATCCCGTGGCCTCACAGAATTGTCCGTTCCAGTAAGATTAAAGAGGACCAAGTTTCTGTGTCTTGGAATAAGAGATGAAAAATTGCTAAAAGCATATGCACAGGAAGACCCCAAGCCATTTAGTTTAAGAAAAATGGGTAGACGTGGTCTCTTTCACATCTATTTTAAATATATATTACTGGTCCAAGAATGAGAAAATTGTTTATTTTCCTGGGCTAGAAATTAGGCTAAAATTGTTCTTTCTGGAAGGCACAATAAACTCTAAGAGAAAAATGGGGGGGGGGGTTGGGGATGTACCCCATGGCAGAGCTCTTGCTGTGCAGGTAAGAGACCTTGGGAAGAAGCCACAAGACAGTAAAGAAATAAGTTGTTGTTGGTTTTGTATTTTGATTAGGCGGAGGAGGTAGCTCAATGGGCAGGCATGCAGGGTTTGTCACAGGAGCCCCAGGTTTGATCCCAACCGAGTCCTCCAAGTACCATAGGGAGTGACCCCTGAGCACCAGGCTGGGAGCACTGCAGGGGTGGCCCCCGCACCAGAACCTGACATGTGGATGATATGTATGTATGTGTAAATTTCCCAATCATACAGATGATGTATAAAGCCATTCTCTGTATTTTCTTTTGCGGGGGTGGAGGTGGGAGTGGGGTGGGGCAGGGGGGTGGGCATCTATTGTTAATCCGGTTTGGGGCGGGTATCAAGGCAGAATGACTTACTCAGCGTGGGAGCCGGCTGCGTGTGCCAGAACTGGTCTCCATGCCAGGCCGCCTCATCGATGTTCCTGGCGGGGCTCGGGCACGCGGGCAGCAGCCCCATTGCTCTCGGGGAGTCCTGAGGCTTCTGCCGGGGGACGGCGGGATTCTGCGGCAGCAGAGACACAAGAACACGACCAGGGAGACGCTGGGGTCGGCCCCACAGCTGGGCGGGGGGGTGGTCAGGAAGGACCACCACCACCCCCCTCAGAGCCTGGCTGGGGCCTTGGGCGTGTGTGTGTGTGTGTGTGTGTGTGTGTGTGTGTGAGAGAGAGAGAGAGAGAGAGAGAGAGAGAGAGAGAGAGAGAGAGTGTGTATATGTGTGTTTGTGTGTGTGAGACTTCACAAAAACAGAAGCAACTATGGCAAAAGGAACAACGGTTTCCCCCTCCCCCGCACCCCCCCCCCCCCCATGCTCAGGGATCTGGGCTTGGGGAGGCAGGAGTCAATGGAACCATCCTGTTCCAGAGCCCTCTCCTGCCCCGTCCCCTGCTAAGGACCTTCCCACCACTGGGGAAGGCAGGACGGACACCATGACACACAGCAGCCAGCTGGCCACTAGCTGCGGGCTCGCTGTCAGGGGCCAGTATCGGAAATCTCCTCCAGGATGGAAACTCAGGCAACCACGGGACATTTCAGTGAAGTTTTTAAAAGGAAGGAAGAAAAGGTGAAGGGAAAAAAGAAAGCTGAACTTAGCACTGAACAGGGCAGGTCACATGGTGAGAGAGGAAGTTTGAGGAGCCTGGCCGGACCCTGGCCAGCCCTAGACCTGTGCCTCTCCAGAGAGAGACCAGCGAGAAGTTTCTCCAAATTTCCTCTGTCAACCACAGTCTGTTCTACCCAGCTCATGCAGGAATGAACCTCCTCTTACAGACACAGAGCCAGTCTATAAAGTGAACAATTTCTTTAAATTCTCAAGCTCCTTCCCCAAAGCCAATATTCCTGGCACCTCTCAGTTAAAAAAAGAAATCCAGTTTGTCCTGCAAGCCCGTGTTCTCCCTTGAGTTCTCGCTTGTGTGTCCACAAGTCTCTTGACTTTCTCCTCGCTGGAACAGCTGTGTTCTCTCTGGAACTCACACTTCCTCTTTCTCTCCAAGCATGTCTACCTAAGTTTCGATCACTAAAAACGAACTTGCATGAGGCTAGAGTGATGGAACAGCAGGAAGAGCACTTGCCTTGCAGAGGGTTCGATCCCTGGCACCCCAGGAGGTCCCCCGAGACCCACCAGGAGTGATCTCTGAGCACAGAGCCAGGAGTAAGCTCTGAGCACCACCAGGTTTGATCAACAAACAAAAACCAAGTAACTGTCTTGCTTCACTGAAAAAAAAAATCCCTCAAATACCAAACTAATACACGGAACACGAAACTCTCTTTAGAAGGGGAGGGAAGATGAGTTGAATATAGAAGTCAATGAGTTTCATCCACAAAATACTGGATTTAGAGAAATCTTTTATGGTTGCTAAATTTTCACAACCTCCCTCCGTCCTTCCGTTACACCACCCTGGGTAGGATTCTTTCAAGTGGTTGGAGGGACAGAGAGGCTCAGAGTCACGGGGAAGATGAACTGATGGCCACGGAAGCAGCTGCAGGAAAGGGTGGCCAATGCACCAAGGGCACGTGTGGAGGGGACGGGACCCAGGAGTTGATGGTGGCTTCGGACTAGCAGCAAACTGGACATTCACCATGAAACAGGGTGCAAGGCCAGGGAAGGGAACTCCGTCTCCTGTCGCCCCATACTGAAAGCAGGACGGAAGGGGACACACGCTTTCCCCTCTCAGGTCCTGGTCCCCCTAGCAGCTGCCCCACAATTCTCCTGGTGGCGTCGTGTCAAGCGTCAGTGCCCACGTGATGGCACCCACAGTAACAAAGGTACCCAGGGACATGGACCAGAAAAGCCAGTTCTAGAAGCTGCCTGAGATTTGGGCCTGCCCCTGTGAGTCAGGGCGGATACCAGCCCCCTCCCCAGCCCTGAACAACAGGAGTGGGTGCCCAGATGCCCCCTCACTAGTCCCCCACCCCTGTCCCCTCCAGAGTAACTTCTCTGGGGTCAGGACCTTCCCAAATTATCTCCTGTTGCCCAGACCATGTGATTTCCTCACCCCACCAGGCTTCTGTGTGCCCGAGGGCCAGCACCCAAGGGCTGTGGGGTTCTGCCGAGACAGGCGCCTGCTCCCCGTGCCCCCAGAGACACCCAGCCATCTGCCGTCCCCGCATGCCCGCCCTCTCGGCAGAGGAAGAAAGAAAGGCCCGGAAGGTGGTGGCGGGCAGAGTCAAGGTCAGACTTACCCGAGGCGGCTCCTGCGGAAATCGGCTGCCAGAAGGCATGGCGCTGTTTGGGGAATTAGACAAGACACCCAGAGAAATCAAAACGTGAGTATCTTCCTGACAATATATCCTATGCTGAGCACAGCTTTAACAAAACCAAATAGCAGCACCCTCCCAGGCTCGAGGACAGAGGCTTTTTGCCTTCTAAGGTGATCAACTGAGATGCGTTTGCTGAGCGGGGAGAAAGCCCCTGCGCCCAAAGGCACATCATCGTGTGCATCTTACTTCGGGTGGGGGTGGGGAAGGATGACGGAGGAGCGCCCCCCAGGTCCTGTGATCACAGCAAAGCACAGTGACCACACCTGGGACATGCAGCTGGGCTGAGCTCGCACATCTGAGCTCATTCATGCAAGCGTGGAATTGGCAGGGGGATGGGGGTGTGGGTAGGAGGGCAGGGGAACAAAAACCCGGGCGCTCACTTTGGAGGGCGGCTGGATTCTGATCTCCTGGGAATCGGATGCCGAGTCGGACTTGGTGCCTCCGGAACTCGGCTTCTCCTTTTTCCTCTTCTGTTTCTTCTTTTTCTTTTTGGCACCCAAATCACCGCAGGGACTTCTGTGAGGTTATTTGTCAAGGGTTAAAAAAAAAAAAAGAAAAGAAGACAAAGAAAAAAATCCAAAGTCATGATCTACAGTCAGAACTGCAGAGAGTGAATCATTTAGAAGCTGTGACGAGGCGGGTGGGGAAGTGTCCTGGACGCCGGTGGACATGCCTGGACCTTACTTGGCCACGGGCCAGCTGCTTACACGGCACTGAAGCAGGAAAACTTACCTCTATAGAAACCCTTTTGTCGGGGGGCTTCCTAGGCACTGCTTGGAGGCTGGAGGGTCTCTTTCAACCTTTCTTGGCTAACCAGGCCCGGTGCTCAATGTTAGAGCCAGCAGAGCTGGTGGGGGCTTCTAGGTGGCTCTTGGGGGTCATGCCAGGGACCAATTTGGGTCCTTGGGCATGCAAGGCATGTTCCTAGCTGGGTGATTTGCGGTCCCTTACTTAACCTCGCTGAGCATCCGTTTCTCACCCTGAGTTCTTTTTTGTTTTGCAATGGCATTCTAAAAATTAGGAGGATATGGTGAGTGAATACATCTAAGAATTCAGACTTATAGCTGGCACCGGAAATGGGTTTGTGGGGCTATTATTAGGATTGTCCTACATTACCTCTTTCCCCAGAACTCACCAGGGGCTAGAAGGGCCTTTATTATCTTGTCTCCCTCCCACGAGAACCTCAGATCCATAGAAGAGCATTTTCCCAACATATACTTGGCACTGAGCCTAGGACCTGGCATATAAGGGGGCCTCGATAAATATTTGCCAGTGAGAGAGAAATCAGTAAGAAAAACAATTAACAGGCAGGGGATGAGAGACTGACTGAGCGGCCCAGGGGGGCAGACCATGGCGTCAGCAGGGAGGCCACGGGGAGCCAGAGCACTGAGGAAAAGACACGTGGCCTCCGCCTAGGGAAGATGACTAAGGACCCAGAATAGGCGCTTTGCATGCGGGAGGCCTGGGTCCATCCCTAGCATCACTGAGCTGCCCCTGGCACTTTACAAGGAGTCCTTGAGCATGGCTAGATACAGTCTAGAAATTTCATTAGGGAAATAAAGGCTACGTTCATAAAAATTTTAAAGGAGATAACTCAGCCATGAATCTCACCCTATTGTCACAAAATATTGGAAGCAAACTTGTCATCTGGTGACATGGAACAGAGTAAATCAATAGAGGTACATCTATCTAGGATACAACAGGCAGAGGTTTTTAAAAAGTTGAATTTTGTATTTTGAGATATAAATATAAAATTATTCCAAGATATGCCTTTTAGTGAGAAATCAACATGTAATAGATGGGGGGGGGGGGGGGGGGAGACTTTCAACAGGATAGAAGAGCAAAAAAAGACAGATGTCCCAAGCCATTACAAAGGCAGGTTATTTCCATAAAACCGTAGCAGTAGAAAGGATGAGTTAAAACATCCTGCAGGCCTGCCTGTTTGGCGGGAGGACATTCTGAATAACAGTTCGGTTTTGAAACAGACAGGGAAATATAGCTGAAAAGCGTGAATGGTTCAAATGTACATCCCCAGAAGAACAAAATTAAGATATAGATAAAGCATGTAAGCCAAAATAGATGCAGGTGGGGAAAGGAGCAAAACTTACCATGATCCATAAAAAAGAGCCAAGGAAAAGAGAAAGAACAATGTCGAGAATCATGAAAGTTGCTGGGATTCAGCTCTCTACTCTGACTGCACCCCTACCACATCGAGCACGTATAACCCCCCCAGCAAAGCAGCACACACCTCTGGGAGCACACACTGCTGGGAGTACACACCTCTGGGAGCATACACTGCTGGGAGCACCACAGCTAAGCTTGCCAATCCCGCATATGTACAACATCAACAACAACACAATCAAAGGAAGAGAAAAGTGAGTGTGCCACCAAGAAAAGAAATTCAGGCCAGTTTCTGGTATTCCCCCTTCTCTCTCTCTCTCTCTCTCTCCCCTTAGAAATAGAATCATGAAATAGAATCACAGTGAATCACAGAGTTACAAAGTTCTTCATGCTTATGTCCCCTATATATCCCTTCACCAGTGCCCGCTTCCCTTCACCTAGACCTCCAGCTCCTCTCCTACTCCCCTAAATTTCTTTTCTTTTCTTTGTCTTGGGGTCACACCCAGCAGTGCTCAGGGCTTACTCCTGGCTCTGTGCTCAGGTGGTGCTGGGGATGGAACCCGGGTCAGCTACGAGCGAGGCCAGGGCCCAGCCCTCGCTGTCCTATCGTTTCTTCCCCACACGTCCTTCCTTCAGACTCCCCAGCTGATCACAGACATTTCCAAATCACCAGCCCACACATTCTGCACCCCAAGGCTAGAGAGTGACAGAATGTCTTGCTCCTCCCCCATCGTTCCCGACAGCCAAGAAGGTCCCACGGCCCAGCTTGGGAACACACAGATCAACACAGGAAAGGGAAAGAAAAGTGAATACACCACCAAGGAAACCAGGCAAGTTTCCTGCATTTCTCCTTCTTTATTTTATAAAAAAAAATTGAATCACAGTGAATTAGAGAGTTATAAAGTTATAAAGTTATTTATGATTGAATCTCTTGTATACAATGTTTCAACATTGCTGGAACAACACACCTCAGGAATAGGGATCAGAGAGGTGAAAAAAATTCTCAAGTTTTTTTTTTCTTTTTGGGTCTTAAGCCTCCCCCCTCCAAAAAACAAAAAAACACTCTCCACACATTCGAATGAGCCGCATGCATGAAGGAACCAGCAGAGGACCCCAGGCATGCGGGACCTGGGGCTGAGATCTCCAAGCCTGCTCAGATTGGAACTGGGCCTCCTCCATCCAGATCCCCCATCTTCCAGTAGGTAGGCGTTACACCCACCAACTGCCTCTGGCGCAGTGTTATCCCATCAATGGCCAGAGACTATAAAACCCAGCTCCCAAAAGCATGCGGCCGCAAACACGGCCACAAGACATCTTATTATCTAGTTCTTACTCTTGGAGAACCTGGCTGGCTATCAAGAGTATCCAGCCCACACGGCAGAGTCTGGCAAACTCCCCGTGGCATATTCGAAATGCCAAAACTCAGTAACAGTGATGGGTCTCATTCCCCTGACTCTGAAAGAGCCTCGAATATGGCACTTTCTAAAATCTCAGGGCTAGGACAAAGGGGACATTACTGGTGCCTGCTCAAGGAAATCGATGAACAATGGGATGACAGCTTTTTGGGTCACTCCCGGCTTTACACTCAGGAATTACTCCTGGCGATGTTCGTGGGGCCATATGTGATGGCGGAAATTGAACCCGGGTGGGCCTTGTGCAAAGCAAACGCCCTGCCTGCTGTACTATCGCTCCAGCCCCAGAATTCCCAAGTTTTCATCATTGCCAAATACCTAATCTTTAGGGTTTGTTCGTTTGTTTTTAAAGCTGGGAATTAGCCTCAAGCACCATTTCCTCCCTTTCCAGGGAATTTGGGTACTACTCCCAAGAAGGGCAAAGGAATCCATCCTTAACTTCATTTCCAGAGAAAAACAGGGGTGAAGCTGTTTCAGAAGGAGCCAGAAAATGTGATAGGGACCTGGGTGTTGGGAAGCAGGATGGGAAGTTTGGTGGTTCTGATGTGGGGCCAAAGTGATCCTGTTTCCACTCTGGACAATCTCCCTGCCAAGCTGGAACTGGGGGCAAGAAGGAGACCGGGGGGAGGGTAGGTGGGAATCACCATCTCTTACCTGTACCCTTCCTGGTGTATTTCACCCCCAGAAATGGGAGGAGAAGGCAGCCAGTCTAGTCTAACTAATCTTGGATAATCTGCACCATTCTCAAGGGCCTCCCCAGATCTCTGCATTAGAAAGTACCAGAAGCATGCAAAAGGGTTCAAAGATGGACTTTTGATCCCTGAGTACCAACCTACACCTGAACACCTCTCACACCTGTCCCCTCCTGTCTTCTACTAATGTAACTTACAAGACAGAATTCCAGAGAGACACCTGAACTCCTTTATATGCATACAGAATTCACCGTACTTCACCCCCCAAAAATCTGGCCACCACCAAAAACAGCACTTTGCTAGTGCCACCCAAACCCTTCTTTTCCTTGGGTGACCACCAGTTTCCAAACTCGAGGGATTATTTTTTGGGTTTTTCTGCCACAAAGTTCCTTCGCCTTAGTAACTTACATTCCACAGATAAGACATTGCTTTTAATTAAACATTAAAAAAATGCACTGCTTTTAATTGAACATAAAGTATATTTTGTTCATGGACTTCCAGTATGACCCATAAAAGAGGAAAGAATTCTTTGAGTTCATAAAGAAGTCTGTAAAAGTGAGAGGAAAGCATACGTCATCTTTACATGTTGGTGCACAAGAACCCAATCTGGCATTTCCCTTTTATCCCAGGCTCTAGTTTCAACTTAATAAATCTAAGGCAAAGAGTAAACACATTATCCTCCACTTTGGGGGGGATCGTTCATTCTCTCTGGCCTCCTGGGAACTATGTAGGAAATTACTGCTTTGCGCGCAGAAGGCAGTTCCCTCAAAGCGATAATTCACCTTTAAAAGGTAAGTTTATCTCCTCATTCCAAAGGTTCTTTGTCACTTAAAGTAGTCAAGAAAGGGTCAGTGTTCAGGCTTTGCAGCCGGTCCCCAGCGTCACATGGCCCCCGAGTAAACACTGGGTACAGGACCCAAACAAAACCAAACCCTCCAACAAACAAAAGAACAGTGAAGACCAACCAAAGCGAAGAGGAGTCTTTCAAAACCAAGAGACAAACCCAGCATCCCTACCCACAGGGTTGGACCATGTGTGCTCTGCCCAGAGCTAGACTCCCCGCCGGGACCTGTAGTCCCCCTCCTCTCCCACGCACCAATGGGCAGCCCCCAGGACCACTGGGGAGGCTCCCAGAAAATAAACAAAAGGAAGGAAATCGGGAAACGAAAGCCGTCACCTTCAGCTTCGACTGAGTCATACCATGAGCACGCAAACCACGAAAACACAATCACTGCCTGCACAGGGGGCACCCAGCTGCCAAGTCCCAATCTGAAACAGCCGGCTAACAAGAGCGCCAACTTGGGCTTCTGACTCATCTCCTCGCCTTTCAAGCAAGGGACCCCGACAAAGCACCATCTTCATCACTTCCTCTGCTAGCCGCTTCCTGCTCCTGGGCAGGGGAAACCGGGCAGTGATGACAGTGGAAGGTGAAAACCGCGGCGGAGGCGGAGAGACGCAGTGGGGCGCTCCTGCCCAGCACCTGCCCGGCTCTCCGGCGAGGTTCTGAGGGCAGGCCCAATGACCCGCACACAGCCCACTCGCGGCTCTGCCCAGGGTCGCGCTGGCCAGTGGAAAGCAGAGACCCACCCAGGGACTCTGCAGCAGAATGAGCAACCCGTGAGAGGGGGGAGGGAAGTCTAGGGTCTCTTCAAACAAGGTAACAAGCACGTAAGTGGTCGGCGTTTGGGGGGTGATTCCCACACGTCACATTTTGCCTCTGCGCCCAATTCTAGTATGCCTGCTACGGCTTCAAAAACAGCTATATTTAGCGACCCGCCACCGGCACATTTCTACTCCAGCATCCACAGAACTAGGGCTCAGACTCCTATCCATTTCCTTTCCTTTCCTTGAGGGGGTAGAAAAAAAAAGCAAAACATCCTCGACTAGAATTTTAACAGGCTACTTGCCGCTGACTCCTGGCAGAGATGCATTCACTGAAATCAAAAACAAACAAACAACCCTCCCCCCCCCACCCCCGCTGCGAATAGGAAATGCATTTAGCCTTTTCCCCACCCCTGGGTCCCTTCATATTTTCCAACCCCCCCCCCCCCCCCGCACATCAAAGTTCCTTTCTGAAAGCTGCCAGCACACACTCAGCGGGTAAGCCGGGCACCCTGGATCATCTCAAGCGGCCTGTCCGTGAGCTGTCAGCTGACCCGCTCCAGCGGTCAACCCCGGGCTGCACAGGCTCGGGCCCGCCCGGGCGCGGGGGTAACCGAGGGATGCAAACCCGAGCGGGCAGGGCGCCCCCCGCCCCGCGCCCTCCCGGCGTCGGCCCGCGCGGCCCTGCAGCCCCGGGCGGGGCGGCCCCCCAGGCGGACCCCAACAGCGGCGCTCGTCCTTCGAGGGTCCTGTCCGCGGGACTTGAGCGCGGGGCCGGGGAGCGCCGTGGGGGGGGGGGCGGTCCACAAAGGCCAGGGCGCCGGAGCCCCGTCCCCGAGCAGCCGAGTCCGCGGCCCCGCGCGCGCGCAGCCTTACCCGCGGCTGTGCTCGGCCTCCTCCTCATTGTCCCCGTCTATGCCGCACGTGTCCTGGTCGTCCAGCTCCAGGCTCTGCTGGCTGGCCGCCGACTCGCTGTCCTCCGCCATCGCGGCGGCGCCAGCTCGGGGGGCGGCGCTGGGCGCCGCGGGCGTGGGGGGCCGGCGCGGCGGCGGCGGCGGCGGCGGCGGCGGCGGCGCGAGCAGCTCCCTCTAGTGCCTCCCGCCGTCTCCGCGGAGCTGCGGGCCCCGGGGTGCCACCCGCCGCCGGCCCCCGCCGCGCCCGCGCCGGCCCCGCCCCGCGCCCGCCGGGCCCCGCCCCGCAGCCCAGGCCGCGCCCCCGCAGGACCAGGCCACGCCCCCGCGCGCCTCGACACGCCTGCCCGCTTAGTCACTCACCACCCGCCTCAGGCCACGCCCCGCATCTCTGGACACGCCCCCCTACTGCCCGAGCTCCGCCGCCTAGTGTCTCTCACCTCCGACTGGGATCCGCCCACGCAGGCGAGGCCACGCCCCCGGACCTTTGGACCCGCCCACCGACTACCCGAGCTCTGTCCGCTATGTAGCTCACCACCAGCCTGGGCCCCGCCCCCTTTGCCCCAGGCCACGCCCCACATCTCTATACACGCCCACGGACTATGCGAGCTCAGCCGCCTAGTGTCTCTCACCGCCGACCGGGCTCCGCCCCCTCAGGTCAGACACGCCCCTGAATCTCTGGACACGCCCACCGACTACCCGACCCCCCCCCCCGCCCGCCTCGGTCTCTCATCCCCCGCCCGGTCCCCTCACCCCCCCACAGGCCTGGGCCCGCCCGTCGCCCACTATGGTCACGCCCCTGCACGCTTGGCCACGCCCATCGACAGAGCTAGCTCGGCCCACCTAGGTTCCTCACCGCCCTCCGGACCCCGCCCCCGCAGGCTTTGGTCACGCCCCCGCCCTTAGACACGCCCACTGGCGACCTGACCTCTGCTCTCACCTGACTGGGCCCGTATACCACCAGGTGCCCGCCTGGCAAGGGTAAGCAAAGGGGTTGGAGAGAGTTCAACAGACTGAGCACTTGCTATGTGTGCAGGAAGTCTGACCCAGAGCACAGAGCTGGGAGTAGCTCTTGAGCCCAGCTACAAATCAAAAAGATCAAATAAGAAGAACCAACCATTCTGGAGAAATAAGGGCAACTAAGAACTTGTTAAACCCTAGAGAACACTGAAAAACAGGGAACATCTGTGCCCAGAACCGAAGGTTTGGTCCAGAACATCTGATTGGTATGGGAAGGAGGTGTTAATTCAACTGTTTGTCTTCCTTAGTTTTTGAAAGGAGAACCAGATTTGCAGAGGATGCTGGAGAATTCTGAATTCCTCCGCCCCTCTCGGAGAGCCGGGCAAGCTACCGAGAGTATTTTGTCCACATGGCAAAGCCTGGCAAGCTACCTGTGATGTATACAATATGCCAAAACACAGTAACAAGTGTCACAATAGAGACGTTACTGGACCCGCTCGAGCAAATCGATGAACAATGGGAGGACAGTGACAGTGACAGTGACAGTGATGTCATCTCTAGAAGCTCACAGTGGGGCTTCTTTTCTGGGTTTAATCCTAGATTTTGAGACACTGGAACCAGGTGGCATCTTCTAGAACCTTGTGTCCAAAATTGTTCAGTGAGAGAAGATACCTGTTAGCAGAGGCCCTTGGGCTTACCCAGCCTGCTGGGCTCCCTCCTATTTCAGACTTTAAACTACAGATCCATAATTATTCTGGTTTCATTTAAATGACCGCATCTCTCTGTTTCATTTTAGGGTGCACCCAGTGGTGCTCAGGGGCTGCTTACTGTGGTGGTCAGGGGACCATGTGGTGCTAGGGATTGAACCGAGATCTCAGGATACTAATTCTGATGCCTCAAAATCTGGGATTAAACCAGGAAAAGAAGCTTAGAGTTTACTCCTGGCTCTGCACTCAGGGATCCCGGCTGGTGGGCTTGGAACTCTATCCTCTGTACTCTCTCCACGTGCAACCACTTTGTGCTTTAAAAAAAAATACATGTGGTAGAATCCACATAACAAAGTTCATCATCTTCACATTGCTAAATATTTAGTTTGGAGTATCAACTACATTCACATTGTTATGTATACAATCTCCAGGTATTATTTCCCTCCAATGTTTTCTTTTTCATCTTGTGTATCTGAAACTCTAATCATTAGGTAATTCCCCATGTTCCCTCTCTGCAACCCCCCTACCAGCCCTCCCCCCTCCAATCACCCACCACACACACACACACACACACACACACACACACACACTTCTGCTTACTGATTTGGCATTCTACTTATGAATCCTACCCTGTGGATTTGACTTCTCTTGGTACCTCATAGAAATGGAATCGTTGGTATGTGTCGATTTGTGACTGGCTTATTTCAATTAACACAATGCTCTCAGCTGCATTCTTGCGGCCAGGGTCAGAATTCCCTTATGACTTAAGGCTGAACATTATTCTACTGTGCCTCTGAACCACACTTGGCTCATCTAGTCATCTATATGTACAGGGAGATTTGTTTCTACTACTTGGTTACTGTATAATCCATCTGGATGCAAAATTCTGTGTCCTGTCTCCAGTTTATTGGTTCTATTTTTCATGGGTTTTGGTGAGACTCCACACTATTTTCCATAATGACTGCTCCATTTACCTTCCTACCCATTCTTAACTGTATGCAGGTTTTAATTTCCCCTATCCTCACCAATTTCTTTTCCTTCCTTCCTTCTTTCTTTCTCTCTCTCTTTCTCTTCCTTCCTTCCTTCCTTCCTTCCTTCCTTCCTTCCTTCCTTCCTTCCTTTCTTTCTTCCTTATAGTTGACACCTTTCTGGATCAAATAAGAATATAACTTCTTAACTAGGGATTTATACAAAATTCTTCTTTTTTCGTTTTATGTCATACTTTTGTGTTATATCCAGTTCCCCATGGCTACTCCTGGCATGGTGCTCAGGGATCATTCCCTGACATCCTGGGGGGAGCATGAGGTAAAGGATTAAACTCAGTACTTCTACATCAAACTCCAGCTCTCTGAGTCATCTTTCTTGCCCTAACATACTTCTTTTACCCTCTAAAGCCAGAACAATGATAAAAATTTTAAACCGCAAAAAACACAGGGATAGACTAAAAGTGTTTATTGTTCTCCATTAGTAAAGACTTAATGACAAGTCAGAAATGCTTCAATTGCAATGAAATTTCTTTTTCACTTGAGCATCATTGGAAAAGTATGATGCATTAGATGTAAGGTAATACTACATAGTACTTAGACACTGAGCCAGCTGATGTTCTTATTTCACCTGGGAACTGTAATGTGAAGAGGAGGAGACGAGATGGAGGATTACAGAAAGAAGCAATAAAAGGAATTTGACAATAAAACAATAGGACCCGATGAAGAAGTCAAAGAATCTCATACTATTCACACTACGAATTTAAAGGTTCATTGTGAACTAGTATGAGAAGGATCCAATCCACTGTTCTACATTTTTAAAGAGGGTAATTAATTATTGATACAGCTGGAAAGAGATTTCATAAACGGGGAGAAGGACTTGAGAAATAACCCAGGAAACAGTTCAGAGAGATGAAAAAGTGGATTGTCAAGAAGAGCTACAGTCGATAGAATGGAAAGGTCCCACCCAAAGGAATCCCAGGAGGATTAAAAACAGTCTAGGAGGAGTGAAAGGGAAGGAAAAAATAGTTGAGAAGTTAATAGTGGATTTTCCACAATCAAGGAAGACGGTAAAATTGAGGAGCAGTGAGTCCTGAGCAAAAGGAGTTCCCTTGTTTTTAAATTTAGGCACATCGTGTTTCATTGGTTCTGGAAATGGTCTAGATTTCCCAAGCCTTGGGCACCCATGCCCTTTGCAGTCTCACTTTGCATCTCTTTCCAACAAGAGTCTGTGAACTGGTGTTTTGCTTTTTACATTTTTGGCCATTTGAATGCCCTGGAAATGCTGATGTGCCACTTGCAAGCCTGGCCTCAAAAAAGAGGACTGGTTTGGTTCCTCCCTTTCATTCTCTTGTCGCTGCTTGCCGGCAGAGCCTCCTGGAAGAGAGAGAGACTATTTGAACAAGAGCTGGGTCTTTTAGACTAGGTCTTCATGGCTTGGCTGACGTTTAGGCAGCCTGCTGTCTGACTGTTAGACATACCCATGAATCTGGCAAGGTTTGCTGGCAAGATCGGCTCCAGGAATCACCCAGAGGATCTCTAGATTTATGAGACTCACAGACTGAAAAATTGCCGTAGGGGCCTGAGTTTGCCTTGCTAACCTGGGTTCGATCCCCAGCATCCTCATATGGTCCCCCAAGCACAGACAGGAGTGATTCCTGAGTGCAGAGCCTGGAATAACTCCTGAGCATTGCTGGGTGTGACCCAAAAAGAAAATTAAAGGGGGGGAGTAATCTTTTTTTTTTTTTTTTTGCTTTTCACACCCGGCAATGTACAGGGGTTACTCCTGGATTTTCACCCAGAAATTACTCCTTGGGGGGCTCAGGGGACCATATGGGATGCTGGGAATCGAACCCGGGTTGGCTGCGTGCAAGACAAACACCTTTCCTGCTGTGCTATTACTCCAGCCCCGGAGGGCGTGATCTTAAGAGGTTGGATTTGGTGATGTTTTGTCACATAGCATTTGATAACTGACCTGGAATTTGTATGGACACTATCCTAAATGTGTGATGTGGACACAGATGAAAGTATGGTAAAGACACAGTGAAGTGTTGAAGAACCAGGCTTCCTGTGTTCTGTAGCATGAAAGCATTGGAGCAAATGCTTCTCTTTAGCAAGTGTGATATAGGAAATAAATCCAAGTGACTTGTAGCATCCAGAAAGATGATTTGTTGTTTTTTCTAAAATTTTTAAAAAATTGTTTAATTTTTAAAATTGTTTTAATGAATCATGAGGAATCACAGTTGCGAACTGACAAGCTTTCATGCTTACGTTTCAGTCATACAATGGTCGAGTACCCATCCCTCCACCAGTGCCCATTCTCTACCACCAATGTTCCCAGTGTCCCGTTCCTCCCTCCCCCACCCCTGCCTCTGTGGTAGGCACATTCCCTTTTACTCTCTCTCTCCTTCAGGGTGTTGTGGTTTGCCAGAAAGATGATTTCTAAACTGAATACTGAATAGGCCATTGATAGATCATATCTGTGTGTGACTTCGGTCGACCAGAGAGGAAAGCAAT